GGGCACGGTGATTCACGACCTCGACCAAAATAGATCGGACAGACGTCCATACTAACGGGAAGCAGATACGAACTACAATAATTTACAGTTTTCACAACACCTGTTCAAAATTTACAATAAACGTCTAAAAAAAGCATAAAAATCTGAATAATTGGTACACTTATTAACCACAACGCTAAACATAGACAAGTTTAGTACCTCGCTAGTCGCTATTTTTAAGGAATTGTGTGGAATGAGGTGTACTCCAAATAAGATAAGTGTTTGTGAGTAAAATTCAAGGAATCAACACTTTTGGAGAAATTTCAAGTGGCGTGAATGGTTTGAAAGTAGCCAGTTATGTATGTGTTCCTGCACTGAAATTGTCGAATAGTGAACAGGGAATTTTACATAATCGGTATGTAGGTCTTCTACATTCTCATAGTGAGAAATAAGAAGCTACTGTTTAATAACATTTTTCCTGAAAAAATTTGTTTCGGTTCTCCTACTTACCTCTAAAAAATATCATATAAGTACTACTTTACTTTTTTGTTTTCAAACTAAATAGTGAGACATGGATACCTCTGCTATTTGACTATGTGAGGCAAATAATACGCCTATGGCTGGATAACACAAATAAAAATTGCGTCTTTAACATTTAGTAAAAAATATTGAAATTGACTATCTGGACAGTACAGACCTAGGTAAACATAGGTACATGGGACAATACTTAATCGACAAATCTAATAACGGAGAATATAAAAAAATCGAAAGCATTGAACCGAGATCCCATGTTTTGAAGCTTATACACAGACTAATGCCCATGACTATGCCTACTAATCGATCAGCAACCTATTAGCACAACTACACAGGCAAATTAAAACACAAACAATATGTAATAATTACTCAGTCATCAAAGGAGCGGAAACATAAATAAACTAAAAGTATAGAGTACATACTTCATAAAGAAGGTACTCATATAAAGATCGTTAGCGCCTCGCATTATGACGAAGCTTGCCAATTTCAGACTCCCATCATTGCCACGTTTGACACGGGTAAGTACCTGAAACGTACACATTTTTTTAAACCACAGCATATAATTAGAAATACAAGCTTTACAGACAGTGGTACTGGCTATATACAATTTGTACATTATACTGTATTAGCCACGGAATAGGAATAAGTTTTTACTATTCCGTGGTTTCCATTGTTTCCATTTTTAAGCGTGGGAGATCCATGCTTCGGCACGAATGGGCCGGCTCGACCGGAGTGATACCATGGCCAAGCAAAAAAACAATGTGAAGCAACGCTTGCGTTGTGTTTCGTCGTGTGAATGAGGTTACCGGAGGCCCAATTACCCTCTCCTTCCCCAATCCCTGAATCCCCAACGATCCTCAAACTCCTAATCCCCAAAAGACCGGTAACGCACTTGTAACTCCTCTGGTGTTCCAGGTGTCCATGGGCGACGCCGATTGCTTACCATCAGGTGATCCGTCTGCTCGTTTACCGACTTATGCCATAAAAAGTACCTAATCGTTTTGGATGACACTTCTTTACTTTTTAGGCGGAGCCGCGGAGAACTTAACGGGTTACCGGTGCTCCAGCTCGAAGTAGGAACGGGGTGGTTTTTTAGTCAGTGAGAGTCTGACACGCCCTCCCGCCTCACCCAGACGGGAGCAGTCATTCGATGATTATCCCCCCTTAAAAAAAGTACTCTGTGGTTTTAGCTACCTCTAAACGGTGTTGCAAAAAAAGCTGTCCTATTGTAAATTATCTACAAGTCTTCGAGGATAGGACTTTTACATGGAGTAGTCCGCGGAAAACAAATGCTGTTTCAGGATTCAGGATTATACGTAAAAGGATCCACCGACCAAGAACATGACTCCAGCTATATTTTGGGGTATTTACATGTCTATGGATATAAAGTTCCTTAAAGTAAAGTACGGACCGAAATGAATATCTGTTTTATCTGACAGTAATCCATAATGACTCTGGATTAATTTAAGTTTTCGACAGAAAGTACGTACCATTGTCATAATTGATCTGACTCCAGATACTTTGAATATTGAGATCGATTACTAATTTCGGATCTCAGAGTTTAGTTGGTACGTAGGTATGTCTGTTCTATTTCTGTCATTAAAGATCTAAAATTGTGTATACTTAGAGATTTTTCAAATAAGTCAATTAATAACAAAATATTTATTTACATATTTATTTCACTTTAAGTAAAGCTAGAAATTTGTTAATTCATAATCGATTGTCGAAATCATTTATAGCTAGCAATCAGCTAGTTCTAGATGCTAATAAAATCTAGTTGACTAGTTCTTTGTTAGCCTAGTGAGTAGGACATAGTCCAGATGTCCAGACAAGGCTTATCATCAAGCTAATATTTTATTTTACAATATTTCCTTCCGTTACGCTCTACTTACGGCGTCCAGTTTTAGGTGACCTATTTGCAAAAACCAATCACTAGACAACTAAATTGGACATAAAAAATAATTTTACCGACTGATGTCAGTTACTAATTGATTTACGAGCGCCATAGTGCTGTGAACTCAGTCGACACTCGAACTAATACTCATGTCAATGGCTGTTGTACGGTTGATGTGTTTTTGACATCTGGCGTCGGCGTCGCATGCGCCGAATCGGAACACAAATAATACAGGGCTATAAATCTCGGTTGTAACTATCGATGAAGCAATCGACTCGAAGTTTGTATGCTCCGGTATCACTCCCAGGTGGATGGATATGACAGATGTGTATCCTCATGGTCATATTTGGTAGGATGTGAAGGTACCTGCCTGCTTCTGACTGTGGAAACAATTGACATAAAGGTACTCATAAATGTCGTAGCAGTTAGAAGGAAAAATGCTGCGATCTATCCGCAAAGGCAGAGCTGCAAACCTCATTTTTCTTCTATAGTTACAAAATTAGAAGATTTTGTTAGGCTACACAACGTCAATGTTACGGCCCACGTGAATCTAGTAGGTATTTGATTAATAGAAACGTGGATTTACATACACTTTATCTAAATCAGAACTACATGAACAAATTATCTTGTAGCACGTGGATAGGATAGGTACCGTGATATCTAGTACCTATGGAATGTTTTGCATTTCATAACAATTTATTACGTAGACACTAGAAAGTATGTACCTACAAAAATATCATATTAAAACGTTAAGAACTAAGAAATTTCTTCATCTTCAATCAAATTCCTAATCCCAAAAGGCCAGTAACGTACTTGTAACGCGTCTAGTGTTCCAGGTGTCCCTCGGCGACGCCGATTACTTACCATCAGGGTCACCTGACGAGCAGACGAGTCACGTCTGCTCGTTTACCGGTTTATCCCATAAAAAAATCCTTTTTCCTTCTCTCTTCTTTTTTCGGCTTTTGGAAAGAATTCGTAGCAAGAAATTCAAATTAGAGCTCTAAGTTGACAGTAACTCAATTGACCGTTTTGGTTCCCCATTGTAAACAATGCAATAAAACAAACGCATGTAATTTGAGTGAGTTTAATTTTACGAGTCAAATGTGACGCCTCGCTAATAAATAAAGTAATGCGCGTGCGCTAGATTTTGGAACAACTAATTTTGTTACGATCAATATAATTGGATTCAAGGACGACATCAAGTACCTACATGATAACTTTGCGCCATAATAACAGCACACTTTTGACTTTTTCACAATAAAAAAATTACAAAACGAATGCGTGGAAAGCACGCTTAGGTACACTCACCATAAAAAAGCAGGAAAATAATATTATCTAAACCTTGAAATAACTGATGAGTAAGTACCTATAATGATTATGAGAAAATAATTTACACAACCGAACTGAAATAACGTTCTATAGATTTAATGTAGGTTAGGTACCTATAGGAAAACAATCAAACATTAGCAGTTTTAAACAGAGCTTTCATCATTGGTTTTCATAATGACAAGTCTATGAATCTCATTGGACACATCTCTTATTTTTCAATGGCTTTTCCTCAGTATAATATGGATAAATGATCTACCTAAGAAATGCTATACGTATTGTTTTTGGATCATCCCTGCTACTCTCGTTTTATCTTCACTGGGCAGAACTGAAACACTTAATTTTCCAGCTAGACAATCCAGCTCAACCATCGCAACATTTATAATATGTAGATGTAGGTACGTCTATCGTAGCATAATGACTCATATGGACCATAAATTAGAATGCCTTTTCAGACAGCACAATCTGTCACGACAGACTTTTGTGGAGTTTCTGTTATGCAATGTTACACTCCACAATGGTGCTATAAAACCCTCGTAAGAATTAAGATGGGTGTGCCGTATGCGCCGATCTAACTCATAGATATGCATTTAAAATAGTTTTTTATTCGAATATGTGTCAAGGGTATAGTTATTGTACAGTCGTAAACTAGGCTTCATGGGAAAATTAATTCTATTAGTTTACATGCATTCGTTTGATGTAGGATTCAATCATTCAACAGAATATAATTTGATCCGTACAGCAGTTCGATGTTGACCGAGAAAGACATTGAACCCTGTCCAATAACATGTTCATATGATCAAATCATACAATAGTTTGTCTGGTTTATTATCTAGGTAGATAGACCTAGATTTATCCAGGGCTATATATCTATGTACCTATATCTAAACATAACTTTGTTTTAATAGGTTCAACGAACTCATGGTTAAATTTTTCGTAATTTATAAAATGGATGCCTAAACTATTAACTATCTGGTATATATTAACTAAGTATATGTAGTTACCAAATATTTTACTAATCAAAAACAAATAATCAGATTGAACAATTGATAATGCGTTAAAGAAATCTCTATTTCGAAACTGCAATGATAAGGATTTCAGGTTAAATTATATCTCGACATACAATTCACAAATCGGGGCATTATAATAACAAAGTAAAGCTGTTCGGAGTGGTATCAACTATAATTAATCACCTAACATATTTAGTTTTACGGTTAGGTTTTTTTTGAAAGAAAATATTCTTTCAGTCTCAATTTTTTTTGAAATTATGAAAATTCTAATCACAATTTCTACTTTAGTGCTTATTGTATTTGGGAACATCAGTTGCCACAGTATCGGTACGTAAATTGTATTTATAAACATATGTTTACATGATATCGTCTACGAGTTGAGGTTGCTGGTTAAAAATATTTCATTGATGCTCAGTTATTTGTCGAACCTTCACAGTCATTGAAACCTCGATAAGTCTACGTTTCGATCAGAATTCAGTCAAATGACAGTGAATATTTAGTGAACCTTGGTAATTAGCAAAGCCACTTGGGTAAGTCCTACTAGCATTGTCACCATTAGCCAGTACTGAACGTGGACCCGTCCAATGGGAAACCACTCAGTTCAATGTTCAGCTTTTCACATCCAACCGCCACCACTCCACCACCCACTTCGAGGATATTGTCACTCTATCTAGCAGCAGACTGTCATACTCTATACAGGGCCGGATTTAGGGGTCCAGAGGCCTCGGGGCAACAAAGGAGTGGAGGCCCCCTTGCCCCAAATTATTTTCCAGATTGAGATCGAGGACGCTCGCTTGATTTCGAGGACGCTCGAAAACGATCGAGGACGCTCGATTGATTCGAGGACGCTCGATAGATTTCGAGGACGCCCGATAGATTTCGAGGACGCTCGAAAACGATCTCGGACTCTCGATAGATTTCGAGAACGCTCGAAAACAATGGAGGACGCTCGAAAACGATCGAGGACGCTCGATTGATTTCGAGGACTCTCGATAGATTTCGAGGACGCTCGAAAACAATCGAGGATGCTCGAAAACGATCGAGGACGCTCGAAAACAATCGAGGATGCTCGAAAACGATCGAGGACGCCCTATAGATTTCGAGGACGCTCGAAAACAATCGAGGACGCTCGAAAACGATCGAGAACTCTCAATAGATTTCGAGGACGCTCGAAAACAATCGAGGACGCTCGAAAACAATTGAGGACGCTCGAAAACAATCGAGGACGGTCGAAAACAATCGAGGACGCTCGAAAACAATCGAGGGCGCTCGAAAACAATCGAGGACGCTCGATTGATTTCGAGGACGCCCGATAGATTTCGAGGACGCTCGAAAACTATCGAGGACGCTCGATTGATTTCGAGGACGCTCGATAGATTTCGAGGACGCCCGATAGATTTCGAGGACGCTTGAAAATGATCGAGGACACTCGATAGATTTCGAGGACGCTCGAAAACAATCGAGGATGCTCGAAAACGATCGAGGACGCCCTATAGATTTCGAGGACGCTCGAAAACAATCGAGGACGCTCGAAAACGATCGAGAACTCTCGATAGATTTCGAGGACGCTCGAAAACTATCGAGGACGCTCGAAAACGATCGAGAACTCTCGATAGATTTCGAGGACGCTCGAAAACTATCGAGGACGCTCGAAAACGATCGAGAACTCTCGATAGATTTCGAGGACGCTCGAAAACAATCGAGGACGCTCGATTGATTTCGAGGACGCTCGATAGATTTCGAGGACGCACGATAGATTTCGAGGACGCCCGATAGATTTCGAGGACGCTCGAAAACGATCGAGGACTCTCGATAGATTTCGAGGACGCTCGAAAACAATCGAGGACGCTCGTTAGATTTCGAGGACGCTCGACAGATTTCGAGTTTAAGAATTAAAGAATACCAATTGTTCACATACTGCAATTAATTTTTTTAATGGTCGAGACACGGAATCGAATAGCCAACCTCCGAGGTTGCGGGCAAGTACCATCCCACTGAGCCATTGAGCCATTGGGGTACTCCCTCAAGATGGGTAGTAAATTGGAAGTGCTTATCAGTGCCATTTGAGATTTTGATATTTCACTGATTGCCTGATTGGAGTGAACAAATATAGATCAATGATTTCTGTTTCTGTTAATATTTAAAATTAATATAATCAAATAATCATGTATGTATAAAGTACTTTAGGCCAGTAGGTAAAGGTAAAAGCGAAAAAAAAAATATCAAAGAAAAGATGTTTACTAGGTTTACTAGTTGAAATTTGAAAGATTTTTTTTTCCGAAGTCTCTATTTTGGAGGCCCCCTGCTTGTGGAGGCCCCGGGGCTTTCGCCCCGGTTGCCCCCCCCCCCCTAAATCCGGCCCTGACTCTATACGCCTAGACGCGGTCTTCGTTCTAGAATACGTCTTCTGTATCAGTCATTGACTTCTGACAGATGAGACAATGTTATTTCAGCATGCTATATGTATAATCCTTATTGGGCTATTATTTATGTTATCTATTATGTTTTGGACTTACTCATGTAACTGTTTCACGACGAACTCGACTAGTTTCAAGCATTTATAGAGGCTCATATTCATGGGCAGAATTCCGCGACAAGCGAAGCGGCGACTGTCGCGGAATGCTGCTCATGAATATACAAGTCGAGTTCCTCGACAAACAGCTACGTGAGTAAGCCGAAAACATAATAATTAATTTAGTATGTCTCATGAACGACCTGCAAACCTTCAAGAAAGAGCGTATTCCTTTTAAAAAGGCCGGCAACGCACCTGTGACTCCTCTGGTGTTGCGGGTGTCCATGGGCAGCACTGATCACTTACCATCAGGTGATCCGTCTGCTCGTTTGCCTCCTATTCCATAAAAAAATGAAAGTTTTGATATTATACATATTATGATCAAATACCGTGGTATTGTGAACTTACGTACGTATTATTTTAGATGCATGGATTGTGGAACTGCCAGAGCGTATCAGGAACCTGATCAGATATGGAGATGTTGACAATGGAATACCAGTTTTGGATCCTTACGAGTTTCAGAAGAAGCAACTGCACTTAACCTCTGAGACGCTAACGTAAGAATATATCAAACAGTGTCCGGTGCTAAATTCGCTTAAATAATAATAATAAAATATGCTATCCACAGTACTATTAATATATTTGTAACATCACCATAACTAACTAAATTATATCATCCCAGATATACTTTCAAATCCAACTCGACTGAGTGGAAGCGAACTGCTTCTAGTTACTCTCTGTGACCTTTTTCAGAAAAATAATCAAATGTGAATCGGATAGGTAGGTACTGTATAATTTGGTATGTAAATTGAGCTAGGATCGGTACAATTTCTAGGCAAACATTGATATTTATATTGCAGCCCAGTATAATAAATACATTTAGGCAATTGATTTTGAACATAAATGAAATTCCTATGTAAACTTCAAAACACGTACTACGTTCTTGAGATTAATGAACAGCCCGGCTCATAATAACATTTTAACGACCATTATTTTATTTTAGATCATCACTTTTCAGCGCCAACATAAATACAACTAATGGAAAATTCACTGGTTTAGGAGACTTCAAACTGCAAGAATTTAACTTTACTAAAAGCGAAATCGCCATTGAAGTTAACTTTAACATTCCTTTACTGAAATTTTATTCAGGTAAGTTTGTGAATATTTTTTATCGTAAGTAATTAAGTAATTGCAGATATCAATCACAATTGGCAAAAAGTTTCTGTGATTGATGATCACTTCAGTATTACTGGAAATGATTCCTATTAGCAATTAAGAATTAACTTGATTAGGTGCATAATGTAACATTGCAATATCTTCTTTTAAATAAATTCTAAATGGTATAACCTGGGAGTCTTCAAGGCCCGAGTGAATAGGTTGCTTATGGGACGACGTGCTCCATCGTAGACCGCATCATCGCTTACCATCAGGTGAGATAGTGGTCAAACGTCGCCCCATCAAATATATATAAATAAAATCTTCTTTAAGATGATCTCAAATCACTAGTTACTTTTATTTTCGTTCTGCGCTATCTGTACGCTCCCGAAACGCCGGCAAATAGTTTTTACAATTTCATTCATTTTTCTTTACGTGTTATTCGTGCAAAATCAGCCTTGAGCAGCTGATTACAACTATTATTACATTATAGTGAAGCTCCAAAATGACCTCGTGGAAGTTGTCAGACCCTGCAAACTGCACTCAAGGAACACCAATTGGGAACTTTTTAGGGAAATTGTAGAAAATTCACTTAACGAACGCGTTCCTCTCAAATCGGACGAGGACATTACAGCAGCAGTAGAGATCTTTAACCAATGCGTTCAATCGGCTGCTTGGGATGCCACTCCGCTCAGACGAGCTGTGAATACGATTCCCTTGTATCCGCAAATCGTTACGGATATAATACAAAGAAAACGACGCGCAAGGAAACTATGGCAACAAACTCGACACTCTAGTGACAAGAAAATACTAAACCATCTAACCAAGCAAGTGAAAAATATCCTCTTGACGATAAAAAACAAAAACCTGGAAGATCGTCTGTCTAAAATGGATGCAACATCTGCTACTGATTACTCGCTTTGGAAAGTGACCAAATCTCTGAAAGGACCAATTGAGTTCCAATCACCTTTACGACGGGATGACGGTTCTTGGGCTAAAAGTGACACAGACAAATCCACACTATTTGCAGAACACTTGTCTAGAGTGTTTACTCCAAATCCAAGTACGGGTTCAACAAAGGTGGGTGAAGTAATGGAGGCTCTTTCAGCACCGCACCAACTTGCACTCCCAATCAAAAAATTCACTAAAGAAGAGGTTACATCTGTAATCAGGAAACTCAACCTGAATAAAGCGCCTGGTTATGACCTTGTTACATCTAAGGTGATGAAAGAACTCCCTCACAAAGCAATAACCCTATTAACAGCTATTTATAACTCAATCTTAAGATATGAATACATCCCTGCTCAATGGAAAGTAGCAGAAATTATTGTCATTCCAAAACCCGGGAAGGATCCGGAAAATGTATCATCATATCGACCGATAAGTCTCCTGCCTGTTGCCTCAAAAATAATGGAAATTCTTATCTTAAAACGACTGACTCCAGAGCTTGCGAAAGCCAAATTAATCCCTACTCATCAGTTTGGCTTTCGCAAAGCTCATGGGACAATTGAACAGGTGCATCGGTTGGTTGAAAAGATAAACCATGCCTTTGAAAACCAGAAATACTGCTCAGCGGCATTCTTAGACATATCGCAAGCCTTCGATCGTGTGTGGCACGAGGGACTCTTATTTAAAATCCTACAAGCCTTACCAATCAACTTCTATCTCATCATCAAATCATACCTCCAACAACGACATTTCTATGTAAAACATGGAGAAGCCAGAAGTAATCTTTATAAAATCCAAGCAGGTGTTCCTCAGGGCAGCGTAATGGGTCCTATCTTATACCTAATATATACTTTTGACCTACCAACTTCCGACGACGTCCTCATAGGGACATTTGCTGATGATACTGCTCTTATTGCAGCACACGACTGTCCCGTGGCAGCGTCCGACATGCTGCAAAAAAGCCTTAATGACGTTTCGGCCTGGTTAAAGGATTGGAGAATAAAAGCTAATGAATCCAAATCTGTTCACGTAACTTTCACTCTCAGACATGCATCATGTCCCCCAGTTGTTTTCAATAGCATAACAATTCCTCAGTTGGACGACGTGCGATACTTGGGAATATACTTGGACAGACGATTAACTTGGAAGAAACATATATTCACCAAAAGGAAAGCCCTAAGTACACAACTTCGAAATCTCTACGGGCTCATGGCACGAAAGTCAAACCTGTCACTAAGCAACAAACTTCTCCTCTACAAAGCTATATTAAAACCAATATGGTCATATGGAGCAGAACTCTGGGGAACGGCAGCCAACTCAAACTTGGACATTTTACAACGCTTTCAATCAAAAATGCTTCGAATGATTGCAAATGCCCCATGGTACATAAGTAATACCCAATTACACCGAGACTTAAAAATAAGATCAGTGAAGGAGGAAGTCACAAGCAAACTGAAGTCGTATTCTCGCCGCATAAGGAGTCACCCCAACGAGCTTGCTAGTGAGCTTATGAAGTCTGCCAGCACCTTTAAACGCATCAAAAGGAGAGCTCCACAGGACCTACTCCTGTCTCAGCAAAAATATCCAACTCGAGGGATGCAATAATTGAAGACGGGTACACCACTGGGCGTTCTCCGTACATGTCACAATACATAACCTCTTGACCACCAGTTAAATGCCCAACTGGGCAGATTGCAGGGAAATAAGGAGATTTAAAAAAAAAAAAAAAAAAAAAAAAAATTCCTGACTTTTATGAACATAAAACTTGTCCGTCCTCTGTCAGCATTTGTAGAGAGCGTTCCATTTACACCCTGTATAGTGTTATCACAAAATCTCTTTTCTTGCCTCTCAGTACACACAGGGCCATGTTTTCATTGGGTAGTATATGACCCTTAGACAATTTTACTTGTATACTATCACCCTAAACTGCCTCTTTGGCCGAATGGTCGTAAGTGCGACTGCCGGGCAAGGGGTCTCGGGTTCGATTCCCGGGTCGGGCAAAGTATTACTGGGTTTTTAAATATTCTCAATAGTAGCTCGGAGTCTGGAATTGTGCCCGGTATATGGCAATAGGCTCACCCCTATTACATGGGATTAATAACATAAATAGTGAAAAGTGAGTGTTACATTGTACAGTGGTATAATGTGCACCTCTGCCTACCCCTTCGGGGATAAAAGGCGTGATGTTATGTTATGTTATGTCATCACCCTAAACCTATCAGTTTTAAACGATAGGTAATATAGATTAATAGGTATTTTCTTACAGAATATTACGAATTAGATGGAAATCTTTATGAAGCCATACCTGTAAGAGGGCAAGGAATAGCCGAGTAAGTATTCACTACTGCAACTATCAACGAAGGGTGTTATGCCTTTTATTCTTGCTATATTTTGTTTCCTTGTAAAGGTTCCTGATTACTAACATAATTCACAACTTATGGAAGTTGTGAATTAGTCATAGGACTACTATTTTTTTTCATACGTTGCCCGACACTAGTTTATTCTCCTGTGTCGTGGGACTCGTGGGTGCGTTTAAAAACATACACGTTCACATACACGTGACACCCAGACCCGAAACAACAATTTGTGGGTCACACAAAGAGTTGCTATGTGCGGGAATTGAACATGCTGCATTTTGCGCGCCAGCCGCTTGCCCAGCCACCACGCCAACCGAAAATTATGCTCCAATAATAGAATTGAAGATAAGGTAGAATATTTCATTATTATAATGTTCTGCTTGCAGAATCGAAATACATAATATATCACTGAAAGGGAAAATATATTTGAAACAGTCTTCAGATGGTAACTCCGTCTTGCTGGATAAGATTGTGGATCCTCAGTTCTCTATAGAACGTATTGTGGTGAGTAATTTTAAGCACTTTCAGGTCATTTTAGGCATCAGCACTCCTGTATGACACCTGATATTTTAAATTCTTAGTTGAAATATCATCCCCGTTTATATAAAAGTAGTCCCTAAACATTGGAAATAAGGTCTATAATGTAGTCAGTGGAGAGTGGTTACCGGTGACCGCTTGGGGATAAATGGGAAACAAACTGTAAGCCAAGATTGCGTCTGGCAACTTATTATGTAGTGATACTTAGATTATGACTGATAAACCCCTTTTATTAAAAGGAGCCATATAGCCTAGCTATGGACTGTCCCGAGTTATTGATAATGGAAATGATGAATAGGCTCTAGGGACTCCAGTCTCCACCACGGATGGGGCCCAACAGGACTGATTCCGATTCGGAGTCGCGGAGAACCTAACGGGTTACCGGGGCTCCGGCTCGATATGCAGGAGAAGAAACGAGATGGTTTTTAGCCAGTAAGAGTCTGACACTAAGGCGGGAGCAGTCATTCGATGATTTTCCCCCCTTATAAAAAAGGGACTCCAGTCTAACAAAAAATCTACTTTAATTTTAAATTCATTTTTGCAGTCTCGAACGCAGTTCGACAATAATATAGATGACGTCATCAACGCCATGGTGGAAGATCTCCTGGCCGACTATTTGACGCGTTTTAACAAGTTCATAGCCAACCGGTACGTGGACAGCATCGTGGAACACCTGAACCCTACCTTGAACAAGTTCGATACCTGGAATTTTATCGCCATCTTGCTAAACGATTAAATACATTGATAACTACATCATTTCTGTAATCATTTGTGTACTATGTATTAAGTTCGGTTGGCCATATATTATTTATCCTTATGTAAATAACTAGTTTCTGCCGACCGCTCCGTTCGCTGTTACCCTGATAAAAGTGTGCCATCTATTCCCGATTACACTACCTATCTCTGTGCCAAGTTTCATCTTAATCCGTTCAGTAGTTTTTACGTCAGATACTAACAAACATATGTTCATAAAAATTGCACCTATATCTACACAAGCTTCCACATTCAATATAATTGTATTTATTGTATGATAGTAAGGTTAAAGAAAGTACATTTTTATAGATCACATAAAGAGTGTTCCGTGTGGGAATTGGACTTCACGTCTTCACTACACCACGGACACATTATAATCCAACAATCGGGTGTCTGATCACTGCCCCAACATAGACTTAATCAGAAAGTATTGTCAGGCAGGTACCTTCCTAATAGTGACCTTCCTAATACCTTCCTGACAGTTCTGGTTAGTTACCCATGTTAGCCTTTGGTATATGCCATAACAGGTGTTGCACCGCAATGGCGCCAAAGCTGCTCTATGTAAAGGACCCGGTGTTCCTGGTAGATGTCTTTCTACCCAATTGAACATTTCCCCTGTCATCCCCCTTCAAGTCAAGCAGATATGTGCCATTGAAAAGAAAATAAATAATTTCTTGAAAATACTATAAATTAATGATATTGTTATTAATACACATCTATGTAAATCAGGAGAGATATAAAGCTAAATCAAAGTCGTTACCGTGATAACAGTATCTACGAATTACCTTCTCAACCGATTAGGAGTCACTGTTTAGGTGCTTAAAATTATTAAAAAAAAAACAATTAAAGGTGGACGAGCTACTAGGGACGTAAATAACGATTGTGAACAAGATAAATATTATAATACGATACTAATTAGTGTTTATCACGTAATTTAGTAGTTGATATAAATGATTGATGAAGAAAATCAATGTAGATCAGTGCTTAGATTGTGTTTCCCTTGCGGAGTACCTTTGAGGGGACTACAGTAGGTGTTTGACAGTCAAGAAAACTAGAAGGTAAGCTTGTATAGTTTCATGGTTTTAATTATTAACTAGGTAATAATATTTTGGTCGTTATTATACAGACTCAAGTTACTTACGTTTCAATTCTAGTTCTATTTACTACATTTACTACAACAGCTAGTTTTAATCAATATTTAATTATATACAGTCACCTAAATCTATAAACTACGAAGATATTTCATCAGGCTATTTCATAAAAAATCCTATGCCCCATGTTCTCAATTATACTAGCGAAATACTAGTCAATGCAATTCAATAGGTAGGTGTTTGTGTTAATAGATACTTATTTGTACCTAATTACCTAATCTATATATACTTATATGATTTAAACCAATCTACCTACTCTTACCTACTCCAAAGTTTTTTTAAGAGACAGAGTTTGGTCTGCTGAGTCTTTGAACACACAAAACACAATTCCTGAATCAGCAATCGAACATTTGATATACCTACTTAGTATTTACGAAAACTAAATTACTTATCTACTAAATACGTGATACGTCCAAGCAAAAGGACAATGAACTAATTGTCAGCCTAAGGCGTAACTGCCAACCATAGATGATACACTATAAAATAGCTACTGCCAACATTAACAACGAGACTATTTGAATTTCGAATTCTAACACCGGAATTTTAAAAGAGGTTTTGCATAGGTAACATATTTATAATTTCGGCCATGATACAATCTCGATTACAACTACGTACGTAATTACACAAAATGTTAATGCACATCATTATTTACGCTATCTCGTATGTACATAAAATATGATGTTTCTCATTTTCAGAATGAAACTCGTACTGGTGTTGATGCTGTGTGCCTTGGCGGCTGCAGCTCCTAAATCTAATAAACCAGTGCCAGCGGCTGAATTCGGTAAGTACTTGGATATGTTTAACAGACCAGCAAAAAAGGAAGGTTTCCTGTTCACCGATTTTTTTTTAAATATTTCTCACAAAATCAGTTGTTTTGAGAATATAGGAGGGGCCGGAGGCGTTTTCATTAGCAACTTCCATTTAGCTCGTTAGTGAGGCTCTGAAGCGCCGACTTACAATTCTGATTATAGATATACCTATTTGATAAAAAAAATACATAGGTACTTATACATTTTCTCGACACAACTTAATTTTTTTTTAGCTCACCAACAATTGATTACACTTTTGTTTCCTGGTTGACGATTTCAGCCATTCATTCATTTGTGTTTTTCTGATGCAGCTGACACGATCGAAAGTCGTAATATACTTGTGAATGCCTTGGTCCGTCAGCTGATCGCATACGTTCGATTCGTCGTCAACCATGGTTCTTCAATCTTCAACATCCCTCCTTTGGACCCTCTAAATTTGGAGGACTACCATCTCAACGTTCCTGCTGGCCTTGTCAAGTAAGTTCCTATATATTTAGAAATCACCTGATCTAATCAACATTTGTATTGTTCTGCCTACTGCCTTCTCAAAAGGTCAATATTTAAATAATTGAATAACATCGACTCTACTAACCAAAACTATCAAAGCCGTTACCGTATCGTAGTTAACCACCCTTCGTGCTTAATGTTTATCGATGATATTATTACCTATTATAAATGCACATCCAAACACTAGTACAATTAAAATACGTTTCCGGAATAAATATAATATCTACATAAAACACCGTAAGTACCAGTACCGTCTTTATCATTAGGGCACCCGGGACCCATGCCCAGGTGGCCCCGAAAGACCGACAATTTCTATGACGGACACACACCCGCTACACGTTACGCGGTTACAGGCTACCGCACAACGTGTAGCGGGTTCGGTTCCCGCACGAAGCAAAACTTCTGTGATCCACAAATTGCTGTTTCGGATCTCGGTGTACTTACCTATATGAAATTGTGAACTTGTATGTTTGTAAACGCTCCCACGATACAGGAAAAAATCCCAGTGTGCGGCAACGTTTTTTAAAAACAAACAAAATCGTTTCCAATTTTTTTTATTTTTTATTTACACCTCTGTATATTACAAACTGACTTAATGCTTGACTTAATTTAATATGCACATAGAACTCAGTACAGTACCAAATTGTAATAGTTTGTAAATATAAATACTTTTGTTGAGGCTACGCTAAAAAGTTGTGTATGAACCAATCGACTGACTATTACTATTAGGCAGTAGGAGTAGCATTAAATACCTACTCACAGTTCACACTTCTGTTGCAAAAATATATAAACAAACAAATATCTGACTTTATCTTTTCTTTTTCACAGCTTGGACTTGAAGCTTTCCAATATATTGGCGACTGGTCTGGGTAAATTCGTAGTGCACAAGAGTAACCTGGACCTGTCTACGCTCACCTTCGACCTTGACATCTCCGTGCCAGTCCTTGACGCCACTGCTGGTACGTACATATACTTTTCAATGTATGATTTTTTGACTTTTTTTATATATCTTTATTAATTTAGAGTCTTTTGATCACATAAAGACTATGCCAGACCCATCATTCCCTAAACAGATTTAACGGAACTTACATTAACTTAAATCCTACTCTTATTTAGGTACTATTTTATATAAAAAGATAGCTGCTTTGGATAAAGGTTGTGACAATATTTTTTGACTTACGTAATATCCCCAATTCCCTACTTATACGTGATCCCATACATTCCAGCTGTGTACTTTCACGGACATCTCAACTGGTATACAAATGATAATACTCAAATGGTATAACAAGACTACTTTTGTACAGTCTGAATAAATCATTAGATTATTATCCAAAGATCAATTCTGCAGCATTGATTGTTTGCCCCCTATTACCTAGGTATATGACACCAATGAATAATAGGTACCTGTACCTACAACTGCATGAGGCACCTTATTATCTTACCTTACGTGATATAAATTATCATTTACTTTTCATTACAGAGGAGTACGACCTTCTTGGTGATCTCTTCACAGCCATCCCTCTGTACGGAAAAGGAAAAGCTCTGTAAGTTTAAGAATTTTAGTACCTAAGCGTTTATAAGTATATTTTTTAAAGTATTTAAACGTAACAGACCCTGGACAACAGAGCTGTCTAATAAATCTGAACATAGATTATGACAAACCCCTCTTATAAGTATATAGACTACTTAGAGGAAGGGTAGACCTCCTTAACGTATTAACTGGAGTTTTCGAGAAATCAATATGCCATATCTAATTACATCTCACTATACTTGCAGATTCCAAGTGGAAAACTTCAGGTTCCAAGCTAAACTGTACCTGAGGCAGTCCGATGACGAGAAGTCTGTGCTCATTGACAGGATCGAGAACGTTTCCTTCCAAGTGCCCGGCTTCAAGGTAAATAATATACCAACCATTTATTATAAATAGCTCTATTCTTTTTATCCAATCCCATACCACCACCGTCACCATACACGGTTATTTGTGTAAGCAGTGTATGAGCCAGGTATTGCTGCGTAATAATAATTCACCCGCGTGCGTAATAGAATACCCCCTCTACAGTAGGGGGTTTGCCAAAATCCCTACGCTTGGTAAGCCTTCTTATGTAGTGGGGAATTATAGTCCAGTGTCATCTGGCTACTAATGATAACTATAGAATATTATTGTCATGCTAATTATGATTAACTGAGCCTGAATGCGTCACGTGAGTGATGTGATTTTATTTTTTATTTTTTCTGACTGTAAAGTACATAATACTCTATATGAAGCATAATATTTGAATGCAGATTATTTCATATAAACAGCTATCTACTGTTTACTTTATTTACTTGCCTGTTTATCAAAGCAAATTTTACATTCCAGTCGGAATTGACCGGAGTCATCGGCGGCGGTGACATCGACGGTATCGTCAACTCTGTTATCGAAGAAGTCGTTATAGACTACGTTAACAGGTTCCAAGGAGCTATCGGCAAGACTGCCGCGTCCCTTGCCATCTCAGGGCTGAACCCTCTGCTGGAACAGCTCGACACTTGGCGTTACATCGCAGTCCTGATACCCAGACGCCAATAAACTGACCAGTATTTTTAAATACACCCTGTACCTGCCTAAGATGAAGATGTTGCATTCGCAAGTTCCTATGAGACGATAAAAGATGAACGAATCGCTTGGTTTTTAGATCGAGGAATTCTAATTCATTATGATATTACACAATTAAAATTTATGTTTATTTATTTGGTTGTTTTTCTACATACTTTGTATTTTTGATTGCTTTTTATTACCTGCAAATTATAGATAGGTAAGTAGGTACCTAGTAATGATTAGACAAATCTTATTAGGTATTAAATAGATTGCTACGTAAAATATGATTTCGTCAATAAAATTAAGTGATAAAATAGAAGATTAGCATCTTATCTATTTCTTTTCAATGTCACTACGTATATTAGTTAGGTACATATGTATACTTAATATTAGTAGGTATTTACTCACCATTTGTCCATTTGTAGCAGGGAAATATTTAGAGGTAGCAGAAAAACAAAGGGATTTACATTAATAAATGAAACGATACACTTTTATGGAATGTTTTTAATTAATCTTAGTAAAGCAGATAGGCAGATAGGCTAAGGTAAGACATTAGATTACAAAAAAATCGTACCCGTTGTACTGAATCTTCTACATGGCTTCTTGCATTCTCTTGCACTAATTATCATAATCCTCGTACCAAACTTCTCGGCAGACGCCGTTCACGTCCATTTGAAATCCATCGGGGCAATTGCCCCACACTGGGGAGTCATCGGAGAAGGAGAACAAGGAGATACTTTTCTTCAAGGGCCGCGGTAGTGCCCCTTTTACTGGTCCCGCGACGTTAGGCCGCGACAGCACCGTGCACACGAACAACAATAGAATCAGGAATAGCTTTTGGTACATTGTGGACTTTTGTCACAGACGACTGTTCAGACACAAGCGAAGAGACTGAGGATTTGGCAATTTATCGCGTTTAGATTATGAACTTCCTTCACCCACGCTACCGGCTGCTGTTTGTGATGAAACAAAACTGTTATTATCTGACGCAAACATGTTAATACAATAATATTCATTATTCGTAGAAGTTTGATGACTCCACTATGTTCTTTGTACACATTTAGCTTCTGCATAAAACGTCAACTCACTTTCCTTATTTTTATGATTCATTAGGAAACATTCTTTTGGCCCGCCATTAATATTATGTCTCTTGCAAAATTCTTGCTAATCTATAAGATTGAAACGTAGATACCTAGGGACATAAGTAGGTAGATACCTAGTTGACCTACCTAATAGTTTAATTTATTAAATTAATACTTAATTAGAACACTTTAACAGAAACAAAAACATAAATATGAGATTTCACCTAATATTCACTTACTGACTGACTGCCTCGTTGGCCGAGTGGTCGTAAGTGCGACTGCCGGGCAACGGGTCTCGGGTTCGATTCCCGGGTCGGGCAAAGTATTACTGGGTTTTTAAATATTCTCAGTAGTAGCACGGAGTCTGGAGTTGTGCCCGGTATATGGCAATAGGCTCACCCCCTATTACATGGGACTCATAACATACATAAATAGTGAAAAGTGGGTGTTGTTACATTGTACAGTGGTATAATGTGCATCTCTGCCTACCCCTTCGGGGATAAAAGGCGTGATGTTATGTATTCACTTTACTCACTAAAGAGTAAAGGTACATTCAGAGTTTAAACAAAAAGAGTATAATAATTAATAGGGGGAGTATCCTTACTCAGTACCGTCTTTACCATAAGGGCACTCAGGGCCCATATCCAGGGGGCCCGTAGGATTGTCAATTTTTACGACGGGCGGCGGACGGGCCAATCTTTACAGCGGGTTTGAACCCGTTTTAAAGATTTGCTCCGTGTGGGATTGCATCCCGGTCTTCCCACACTGTGTGACTGAACCAAAAATTGTTGATTTGGGTCTCCGTGTCATGTGTAAGTGAACTTGTATGTTTATAAATACTCCTACGATACAGGAGCCAATCCTAGTATGGGACAACGTTAAAAATAGAAACATTCCACAAGGGCCCCGAATTATTGTGTGCCCAAATGCTCCGGCGTAGTATAAGACGGCCCTGATCTTATTAAAATATTATAAACTAGCTTTTACCCGCGGCTTCGCTCGCGTCAAAAAAGGATAAAAAGTAGCCTATGTGACATGTACCAATACACACAGCGCCATCTATACCAATACTTTTGTTGTCCCTCGAGAATATCACATTTTTCCAGGATAAAAGTACCCTATTATTTAATCCGGTCTTCTTTACTTTACGTCTGCAAAAATTCAAAGCAATCGGTTTAGTAGTTACGGCGTGAAAGCGGAACAAACAAACAAACAAACAAACTCACTTTCTGATTTATAATATTAATAAAATAATAAGGATGAAAATGTTTGGTAGTTTGTGTATTTATGTTTGGTATTAAATCACAACAAAACGGCTCAAGGGTTTGGGTAGAAAGGGACAGAGATAGATTAGAATAAATAGACAGAAAGACGAACGCACTTCAGGGAAATCCCTGTACCTACAGAAAAATGATCGGTATAATTTTACGGTAGTTTCCAATAGGTTGAACGAATTAAAGATTCTATCATCTAACATGTGTCAGTGACATAGGGAATTCCCCGTAAAGTCTCTATTTAATTGTCATTCGTTTATCATACTTGTATGCAGGTCTGATAAAGACGTTTAATTAATGACGTAAAAATGAAATCGCGCTGATTCCGCAAAAAGTCATCCTGCATTGATTTATGATTATATTATGTATGATTACGGATCACCGGGAATGCCTCCTAGGGGAGGATTAACTAGCATAAAAATATTAAAATTAGGTATTGAATAATAAAATTAGGTATAATTAATGTCATCCAATCAAATTAATGAGTGTAATATTATTTTGACTGAGTAAATGAAGTATTTTTGGGACAAATTTCAAAGAGTTTTAGAAGGTTACGATATCTGCATAAAATAATGCCATAAATAAAAAATACAATTTTAATTTGTAAAAAATGTATTAAAATTTAAAAGTCCTAACTTTTTTATAAATAACTCTATGTTATAATTAAGTATCTAACTTTATAAACATGTTTCATGTTTGTTACAACAAGACTAATGGTAGTTATCACAATTTTATAGATATCCAAACCTTTTCAAAATTTTCAGTCCGATACCAAGTCACGGTACCATTACTTTACAAATTGTTTAAAATAACAAAAGATAATTTTATCAAAGATAACTTCCCCTTACGTACTTAATCATGCATTGCTCAAAATATCATAATATTTATGACACATCAAGAAGTTTAATGTTTTAACAGTCTAAAAGTGTTGATGTTAAAAAAACATAACATTAATCACTTTAAAAAGAATTTTAACATTAAGACTTAGGTTACTATAATTTGGTATGTAACTGGTAACATTTAGCAGAGCGTTAGCTAGAATTACAAAAACAATGCAATTATACTGAGTTATCAGTAAGGCAAAACTCTAGTCTAGATATTACCAAAATTACTATAGCATAGCATACGAAAATGATGAGATAAGATTAACGATTTAGAGTAGGTGGTTGTCGCTCCCGCGGCGGTGGAGGAGCGTGGCGCTCACGGGGAGGTGGAGGTGGTTGACGCTCCCTTGGTTGAGGCGGAGGCACAGCGTTAGCACGGCGAGGGATCGGCGGGGGTTGCCGAGCTCGCGGCTCAGGCGGCTGCTGCCGTTCACGGGGTTGGGGGGGCATGTGAGCAGTCGGATTCATTCTGAAGTCATAATTTTTAGACAGGTTAAGTAAATACTGTAACAAATAAACATTTAAATCTTGCATTAGGTAGATAAGGTTTTAGTGGGTACAAAGAAGTTTTTAGTAATGGAATTTTAGTTTGTTTGTTTGTTTTTATATATTATTTAACTGATTGTTTTCGATTTGAATTGTAAACCTAATTGAGCAACTTATCCTCAAATTTTCTTATACAACACAAAAGAAGTACTTACCTAGAAAGTTTTCAACGATTAATGTTACTGCAGTCAATTTGATCCAAAATAAACTTGGAAATTTTAGATTTCTTACCTATAATAATTTTAAACTATCATCGAACTTAAAAACATACTTAGTTGATTTGATTCATAACTTTTTATTCGGAATGGGAAGGGTATTTTTTTTATAATTTTATTGGTTTATAGTAATTGTCAATTATGTCAATATTGTCAATGTCAATTGTCTAAGAATTTTAAAAATGACAAAACAGGGTTGTCCTTGTGTAACTGAGCTGGAATGATTACTATTGCAAAAAATCGGTCTCACTAGGGAAGTACTTACTACCTACTCACATGTTTCTACCAATCCTACCTATGGTGGGTGATGGTGACCATTATGATTAATACGTAGGTAGAAAAAATTATGGAGCCCACCCGACCGGGCCCGGTAGGCACTGCTCCGGCACGGCGTTTTTTACTTAGGAAACAATACATAAAGATTGTAAGCGCGCATTTTTCAATTAACGTTATGAAATGTGTCATACGATTTAAACTGTCAAACACCAAGCGGTCGCCGGTGACCGCGACCTATTGTTCTTTAATTGTGTCTATAAAACCGGTACTCGACGAGTTAAAGTTCATATTTACATATTATTTCTATAAACATACTGAATACATACTGAATTTGGAGCCATGCCGGAGCCGTGTTACAGGTTGATGATGATAGTTAAAACCACCTATCTAAAAAGAAACAACGCCTGGAAAGGAAATACATACATAATAATACATACTTCCCGCCTACCTGGTTTCTGCCTAGGATCTAAGGGCGTCAATTTATTAAAGCGTGTAGGTACATCATGACTAATATGTGTATAGCATAAATATAACCAATAAGATTCTATCAAACATAGCATAGCATGCCTTATTCATATCACGTGATAGAATGCATAACGTAGGTACTGGGAAAATAAATAAAAATTCAATTGCGCTTTTCCCACAAAAAAGTGACAAAGCCATAAAAATGTAATATAATTTGAAATAAATATTTTTATATCCTATCCAACAATTTATGGTCACCCTTCGCACTCCACATTAATTTGGCACGTTCCAGTTAACCGAAATATCTACAAGACAATAATACATCCACACTTGAAGACGTTTTACTAAAAAAAAACTAATAATATTATTGTTGTAAATAAGTTGTGAAGTATTAAATTACATTTTGGTGTATGTAAAATGGAGTTCATGGTTCCATATTAAATAATTTGTCCTCCTATTAAAAATGATTCGCTTAATTTGAAACCAGTTAGGCGATTTAAGAAGTAACTTAAAATGAAGCGTTTAAAACTTTTACAATTACCTAGTTAAGGTGTATTTTTATGGTATTATATTAAAATATTATAATCATAGATGTTGTTCTTATTTATTATTTCCACCTTGTTTCTACCCATCCATGTACTTTTTCTACTGAACAAGATCAATGAATCCAGGACTATATTTAATCTGTTAATATCGAATCACTAGTGCCATCTATTAACGAGAAAAGGAAACAAAAACGGAAGTACCATGATGATAAAACAGTTCTCATCTAAAATTACATGTGATAATGTTGCCAACTTTTTATTTTCCCGATATCAAAGCAGTCTTTAAAATCACAACAAGTTTAAAAAAAATATTTATGTACGAATTTAATAAATTTATTGAATAAGCGATTTAATTTAATGACATTTATACGTTTTTCCTTAAAAGAAAGCTACAAGATACTCTTTTGATAATGTTGAAAATATTTTTTTAGTGATGGGTTGGTTATTTCGATTAAAAATTGGAAACATTGACCGAACGAGTGGGAGTGAACGAATGAAATTAAAGCGAGATGCTAAATAATCAGTGAAGAACAAAAACTACGAATGAAAAGTGATTTCGGAGAGAAAAATTGAAGCCTTTTCATGTGATTTTGTGAATTTGTGTTTGTGCAAAATTCATTGTAGACTGTGTTTGTATAATATTTTTGGAGCAACGTTCCCAAAAAAACGTACCGCTTGGTAGTAATATGAGTAATGTTACCAACCAAAATGGAACAGGTCTAGAGCAGCAGGTCTGTACCTCATGTACCTATGCACTTGATATCGATTTTTCCAAATGTGCATGGAATTGTAACTGGAATTTATCCTATTTAAAGATTTGTGCCATGAACTTAAAGCGTTTCTAATTCATGAGAAGATCGCGTTTTTTGATGAAAGCATTGATCTATAAAATCACAATGCTTTACGTGTCTCAGATTAACCAACATGGCGACTCAGTTCTTCCACTTTTATGGTATCTATTTCATTGATTTTGTGAAAATTCCATAATGCACACATCACGGCCATGTACGTGTGATACAGTAGTTTTCCAAAGGCACTTACATCTGAGGTCATTGTCATGCTATATTTGCGTGTCATGGCGGGAGGAAATTAAAGGTTTCGCAATTAATATGTATCTACACCAGTATTACTCATGATGATATGTAAAAGGATAGTTATAATGTGATTATCTATGTATACTTAGATTGAATAAGTAGAAGTTTTTTGAGAAGTTTTATCAAAACGCATTTTGTTATGCTATACAGGCAAGTTAGCATGTCTAATTTGCTATAGTTGGATGACGATATACAACCACTGTGCTGGGTGTTGGTTAGTTAACCAATAACTTTAGTTGTTATCTTGAAATTTCATGATTTGATATATATTCATTACATGTAAAGTTATGGTATAGCACCAATGAGATGTAAGAGCACATTGCATGATATTGGCATGATATAAAATTTTGTCATGTAAATAGTCACATATAGACTTCACAGTAACTGTATGTTTATATAATAGATAGGCATTGTAAAATATTCACTGTATCAAATTACAGAAAGTATTTTTAAATTACTTTGTGTGAAACAAAGGCATGGACATATATAATGTACATGGAGCACCATTTTTACTAACCAATTTTTATTAGTTTGTAATGCATATTGAAAGCAAAACGTTAGACTCATTATTATTCAAACAAATTGTCTAGGTAATGTAAATGTTATAATCTTTTTGTTTGTACTAAGCAATTTCATTGAGTACTATACTTTTCATATTGACCTAGGTTCAGAATGATTGAAACAACAACATTAAAGATACATTTTAGTGACAAAACACTTAAATTCCTTTGTCTGACACGTGGTGAACAGCATCGTGTATGAATGAGTCACTAATACATCAGAACTTGTTCATCTATAACAGTAACAGCTTAAAAGAAATGAAACATGAAATATTTTCACAATTTGGGAACAAATATTTACACTACATGAATGTTAGTTGCTTTTCTTATTGTTGTTTATTGTTATGTTACAGCTTGCTGGTCTGGACTTGCAGCCTCAGGCTAATAAAAGTGCTGGCCGCTACATCCCCCCGCATCTGCGTAGGCAGTTGCAGGCCAATCCTTCACAAGGTACGTAAACTAATAACATGTTTCTATCATTCATTTTTTCTGGCCATTGAGCCAATAGCTCGCACTCATACATAATTCAGCATGCCCTACCATACACAATGTCACTTCCTCTTGGCCTAATAATGATGCAAATTATATGTTAATTTACTCTAAACTACCTATTTAGTCTATTTATAGCTTGTAAATGTATTTGCATTCAAAAATGTAATGCTTCTTTTCTATTGTTTTTTCTTAATGTGTAAGTTCCAATTTAGAGAAGAGATTCTTGAACAGAAACATAAGTTCACTCACTGAATCTTCAGATAAATTCTGTGATTTACCAATTAAGTAGTACCATGTGTAGACATCAAGTAGGTTTTAGCGCTTTGTCTTTATGTACAATATTAAATATTATCATTTTTAATTTCATATTTTTATTAACTATATTATCAGCAAGTTATATCTGGTTTTGTTGTAAATTAAATATTTGATAAATAACAAAGTTAATTATATTAATGGAATATTTTGTGATACTTTAACTTTTAATTATTTTCCGTGTAGTTGTAAAAGATAAATATGTCTGCTATTACTTAAAATGCTTCCTCGATAGATGATTAAATTAGGCTTTCTGTACCAAACATTAACTAATGTGCTTTAGGATTTCAATCACTATACTGCTCAATCCCCAAGCGGTCATCGGTGACCGCTCTCCACTAACTCCATTATAGACCTTATTTCCGAGGTTTAGAGACTACTTTTGTATGAACAAATTTAGGGTAAGATATTTCAACAGGTTAATAAAATTTAGCACTTATAAACGTAAGTGCAAGTGTAAATATAATTACTATGAAGTTAGGATTACAACAATTTTTGCACCCTATGTATATGCAAACTTGATACATTATGGAGATCAGCATCAGCAGCTAGTTTAGTAATGTAAACAGTAATTTGTACCTAAACTGCAATAAAGTTGAAAATAAAACAAAATACAGTGTAGTTAGTCAACACAATGTTTTATACATTATATATAACGGGACAAAACGGGATTGCACGTACGAAGTCGCGGGCGGAGGCTTTATAAATTGAATTTTTTGTGGATACTTGCGTGCCATTTAGGATACAAACCATTCATTCAATATTAACATAAGATGCAATTACATCCAGTTCTAATTAAGCTAGTAATATTATATCATAGCTAGGGAAAAGTAGTCTACAGTATGTACTATCTATCTGCAGGAACTGAGTGTGTTTACTTCCTAGTTAGCCATAAATACAATAGAAATAGATAGGAGTCAGTGCGTGTCTGTGTGTCAAAGTGCCTTGAAGCATTCTATGCAAATACTCGCGACACGGTTGCGGATTTGCTTATGAGAACATGACCTGTCGCCTCAACCCAACATATGTTTTTGTACAGTTGAAAATGACACAATGAATGCTAAATGTATTAATGTCTCATACAAAAACATGAATTCAAAATATAACTGTTTGGTCTAGCACAAGTGTAAACAATAATAAATGTCTATATGTAGTTCCGACGTCGTTATGCCGATTTGTTCAGGCGAGTCGAGTAGAGGTCAGCACAAAATGATATCATGTCCCTATTTTCTGATTTATGAAACAGGAACTTTGTGCAATGACCGTTATGTTGATAGTATTTCTAAGAAAGTAGGCCAGTGATAAAAAATTAAAGTATTGATTTTATCAATACTTTAGCTTTCTGCTTATCTAATGTGTTGCCCTGTTTATTGCTAGACTGAGATAGTACAGGTACTACCAGTTGTATTGATTTAATATTATACATACATACCTCAAATTTTAGTAGGGAGGGAATTATATAAGGGAAATTATGACATAAGCAAGGTAAACAAGCAGACGGATCACCTGATGGTAAGCAAACGGCGTCGCCCATGGACACCTGGAACACCAGAGGCGTTACAAGTGCGTTACCGGCCTTTTGGGGATTAGGAGTTTGAGGATCGTTGGGGAATCAGGGATTGGGGAGATTGGGGAATGGGAGGGTAATTGGGCCTTTGTTGATAGTATTGCAGTGGTGATTAATTCTTTTCATGCATACATCCTTTATAAAAACACTCGATGTTATCACTTCAGGAATTACACAAGGAGCTTAGTCATCAACATTTCATTGATCACCTTTGATGCTATTGTTTATCTGTTTGTTTGTTTCACCATATTTCATAACAATCATAATTATAATATTTTTATATAGGCATATGACATGACATGACATTATATTAAAAACATATGATATGGTCTCTTTGAGCTTATGATTAACTGATAAAACAGACACTACTAACTTTTTATAAGTATGAAATGAAATGCATTTCTATGGACACTAAACATAAAACTAATATCAGGTGGCTCCAGTAACAAGACTATCGGATCAATTAATACGTCTATGGTTCCCTGCATTACTCTATAATAATTAATTTGTGCAGGGGAAGAGTCTAAGCGGCCAAGCTTAGACGCCCGTTCAAACGAACAACGGGACGGCCGTGCATCATTCGGAGGCAACTCTAGAACCTACGACCGTGGTGGTCGGCGCGACGACCGCGAACGTGACCGCGACCGTGACTACGATCGCGGCAACGACTCGCGATACCCGCGCAGAGACCGCGGTATGTGCACAATATGTCTTCAGCTGCTCATGTGGCTCGTACACGCTTGACACATGTAATAACCTCACTAGACAGTGATATCTACAATCTTATCTCAGCCTCTGTTGTTATCTATGTATTGATTGGTATTTCTTAAGTGGCTGCCTAAGTAGCAATAAGTGATATACCAAGCTCTATGTTTCAAGTTTATTTAAAGTGCTGGAGATCATATTTTACATTCTTTTATATAATGGCCATTGTTTAATTGATAATTATTGAAACACTATGTAACCTGGTGGTTATATTACTTACTAGTTACTGTATTTATGATTGATAGAATTAAACTATGTAGATGGAAAAGTCCGACTTGCATTTCCAATATGGCTGGATAAAGTCAGTCATCTGTTTGACTTCTGAATTTCAGTGAATATGGTTAATCAGTTTTGTTGCTTTCCCATTAAATGATTCTTTTTATTTAGGTCGTGATTCAGGCTATCAAAATGGCGATTCAGAGCCACAACGCTGGTCGGAGTCGTCCGAGAGATGGGGCTCCTCGGGCGGCGGCGGCGGCGGCGGCGGCGGTGGTGGCGGCGGCGGCGGCGGTGGCGGCGGTGGGCGCAGCTCGGCCGGCGGAGCGGGCGCGTCGAGCCGCGAGTCGCGCGACGTGCGCCGCGACGAGGACTTCAACGAGCCGCCGCAGCCGCGCAACGACCGCTGGAAGGAGCCGGAGCCACGCGCTGATGACCGCAACAACTCGCGCTGGCCCTCCGATGATGTACGCCGCACGAGCAATCGCAGGGACGAGGTTGGCCATGAAAACAATTCCGTCAGTCAAAGTTTATTACATTTATATTGGGCGGGTTGCACACATTCGATTTATGCTTACTACTGCTTCAAGTCACTTTTACAGAAGAATTGCCTTGAGGAATGCTTATAGTTGCTGTAGCTTTAGCTTTAGTAGCTGAATTTCAATATATGTAACTGGACTGGCAGCATGCCATAAATAAAAGCTTTTAGGAACTCGCCCTTTACAACTTTGTCCACCTGATGTAAGTTATACACATAGAGCCAATGATCATGAGGAGAATTGTATGTTATAGAATGATTGGACGGTCCCGCTACCTCGCGACGAGCGGCAGGAGTTGGAGCTGTTTGGCACTGGCAACACAGGCATCAACTTCTCGAAATACGAGGACATACCAGTTGAGGCCAGCGGAGATCGTGTCCCAGATTTCATCACCAGTGTAAGTTCCAAAATCATGTCGTCATCATAATATTTGTAACTAGTTACTAATGAATACTTGTTTCTTCTGTTTGTTATCATAATTCTTAATATTATGCGATGTTTTTTTTTACAGTTTGAGGATGTTAACCTGACGGAAATAATGCGCCAGAATATAGCCTCAGCTCGTTACGACAAGCCGACACCAGTCCAAAAGTATGCAATCCCGATCGTGCTTGCTAGAAGAGATGTCATGGCGTGCGCACAGACTGGTTCAGGAAAAACGGCCGCATTCCTTGTGCCCATCCTCAATCAGATGTACGAAGCTGGCCCCGTTAAACATATGGGGTGAGTATTCCTAGCCAACAAGTACTTCTCCTCTGCACATGATTGATTTATGACGAAATGTTTTTGTTTTACAGACCATGTATCCGGCGCAAGCAGTACCCGCTGGGCCTGGTGTTGGCTCCGACGCGCGAGCTTGCAACGCAAATCTTTGATGAGGCTAGGAAATTTGCCTACCGTTCTCGTGTGCGACCTTGTGTCGTGTAAGTTGTCGCTTGTACAAGTTGTAACAAGTATAATATTATGTATATTAATAGTGTCAGAGAATAATGAGTCGATTGTATGGGCAGGTATGGCGGGTCCCCTATACACGAGCAGTTCCGCGAGCTGGAGCGAGGTTGTCACCTGTTGGTTGCGACCCCGGGGCGACTCGTGGATATGCTGGTGCGCGGCCGCGTGGCGCTGGACCACTGCCGACATCTCGTGCTGGACGAGGCTGACCGTATGCTGGACATGGGTTTCGAGCCTCAGATTCGCAAGATTGTCGAGAGCCACACGATGCCAAAGACTGGCGAGCGCCAGACGCTCATGTTCTCGGCGACTTTCCCTAAACAAATCCAAGTGCTAGCGCAGGATTTCTTATATAATTATGTTTTTCTTGCTGTTGGACGCGTCGGTTCCACATCTGAAAATATCACCCAGAAGGTAATGTTTTAATATAATATTATCTGTAATGATATTACATATATAACTATCAAAACAGATGTACAAAAATGTATAACTTGCAGGTGGTATGGGTGGAGGAAATGGATAAGCGTTCTTTCCTGTTGGATTTGCTGAATGCTTCCAACTTACTGCAACGTGCACGCCCGGAAGAGGATCAACTGATCCTTGTATTCGTTGAAACGAAGAAAGGTATATTTTGACACTGATTGATTAATAATGTATATATCATATCAAATCGTTAAAGTAGTTTAAAGTACTTTGACTTGAGAAGCTTAAATTTTTCTTAAGTTTGACTTAAGATTTACATAAATAAATACTCTTTTGAAACTTACAAATAAAATTATCCATCTGTCAATTAGTGAAGCTCTTAATTTAACATTACCTAACTTTTTGTACAGGTGCCGACCAACTGGAAGTGTTCTTGGATAACCTTGGTTACCCAGTCACGTCCATCCACGGCGACCGATCCCAGCGCGAGCGTGAAGAAGCTTTGCGCCGGTTCCGTTCCGGACAGACACCGATTCTTGTCGCTACCGCCGTCGCGGCCAGAGGCAAGTCACGCTTTCTGTAAAATGAATAAAATTCAGTAAAAATATCACTAACTACAACATTAAGCTATTCTCTTTTATGGATATTTATATTAAAAGTATTGGAATGGTATTGATAATTGTTTAATTAATACAGGTTTGGACATACCGCACGTGCGTCACGTGATTAACTTTGATTTGCCGTCGGACGTTGAAGAGTACGTGCACCGCATCGGTCGTACCGGCCGTATGGGTAACCTGGGCGTGGCCACGTCCTTCTTCAACGACACTAACCGTGGCCTCGCGCGGGACCTCGTTGAGCTCCTCGTTGAGGCAAAGCAGGATGTGCCAAAGTAAGAATTTACGTTATTTTTTTTGTTGTTAGCACCATTAATTTGAATTCGAGGGTGCTTGGTCTTTTGACAAAACAATATTATTTAAGCTTATTTATAACTTAATTGTATAAGTGCATCGTTAGCGGAGGATTTGCCTGTAACAGTTTGCTCACTGCATTGAATTAGTTATAAATGAATTAATCCTAACACATTTTATTTTCCAGTTGGCTGACGAGCACGGCAGCTGATGGGCGCCTTGGTGGCGGCGGACGTCGGACTGGAAGCAGGTCTGGCGGGGGACGATTTGCAAGCAGCGGCAGTGGCTTTGGCGCTAGAGATTTCCGTACTCAATCGCGTCAAACTCCACGATCGGCAGGGCCATCAACTATTGGTTCTGGTCAGTATTATTGATTTAAAATGTGCAATGGTGTTATGTAAAAAACGTCTTTCCTAACTGGCCGTTTTATGTCGCAGGGTTCGGATACGGCGGCGGGTCGTACGGCGGTAACTACGGCGGGTCGTACGGCGGCGGCGGCGGCGGCGGCAGCAGCGGCGGCCCCGACTGGTGGGACTCGTAAGCGTCCGCTCGCACTCCGCAGACCTCGCACCGCACGCGACCCCGTACTCGACCCCTTCATTCGTAACTTAAGCGATGTGAAACGTTCTAGATTAATATATTTTATTTTAATTCGTAAACTGATAGTTGGACTGAAATTGACCTGTGACTATTTAATACGGTAATGTTTGTACAATAGAAGAGAGCGGTGCGACAGAGAGATGTGTTTGGGCGCGGCCGGCCGCGGGCGCTGAATCTCAGGTGCGCTGCCCGGTGGTCCGGCCGAGCCTTGTTTCTTAACTTCATACTATCACCATGGACATGCTTAACAAATGTCTGTGAATATATTCCGCGAGAATGGTAGTTCGCGATCATTAATGAAGTAATCGATTAGATTAAATTTGATCACATGTATCGTTTGCGTCACGCGCGACGTGACTCGCACGTTTTGTCTTTTTTAGTAACGATTATGTGAAAGTAGTTTATTAATATAGAAATATTTTTGATGTCCGATCTGTATCGTGAATTCGTAAGTGAACAATGTAATTGTGTATTTTCGATTTTCTATTTTCTGAAGGTCTCATAGCTGAACTCACTCATGACACTGGAATTTTGAAGCATTTACGCACTCTAAAATCGATGTAGCTAATGGAGCAGTAGATTTAGAAATTGAAAAGTACCGATACAGTATCATAGAAAATAATTACTAAATTTTATCAGTAGAGATCCCATATTGTAATATCTGTCTTCGACGTGATCTATTATTTGAATGTGAATTTACCAATAAAAATTAAGAAACAGAATCATTTTGTTTTTCTTTTTATAACCGCTTACTTGTTTTTAGCTGTTTTGTTTCAACGAAACGAGTACCAAACTGAACCTTAACTCATTGTGCATAGCTTAACGGTTTGCCGGGCTCCGGTTCGAACTGCAGGAGTAGGAACGAGGTGATTTTTAGTCAGTAAGAGCGCCTTTAGCCTCACCTAAGGCGGGAGAAGTTATTGGAAGATTAGTCCGTTCAAAAACATAAAATAAACGAAAGTTCGTGCATATGGAGCCGCCGTACCGGTACTGCGCACTGCGCCGCCGCGCTTGTTCCCTCTGCTTGATTCGTTCCATTACCGGACTTCGTCCGCGGCCGGCAAAGGAATAGGAATACGCGCGGCGGCGGCGCAGTGCAACTGCGGCGACGGCATCGTGGCGGTGCATGAACGTTAATAGATCTGATATAATAAAGTATACATTAATAAAAATAGCCGTTAAACAGACCCAAATTCGCTATTTCTACTTTGTCATTAAAAGCCACTATTGGCTCAAGAGCCTTTGACTAGCACTATTGCCAGACGTTAATTAATAATTATTATTATTCACTATCCAAAGGCTAAAATGTGGGGCATCAAGTACCTAGTATTATTTTATGTGTATCAAAATCTCAAACGTTACCTGCTAAGTTAGACGGTCAACTGCAAAGACTACAATGTTATACCTATCTGAGAGTCAACTGGCTTTGTCCTAATCAAATTAAAATTTTCAATATGTCGAAATCTAAAAAGAAATTATTGATTATCCGGTCAATTTCTACATTTCTACGTTCAAGGTTACATAAATTCATAAGAAGCTCATAAGTCCTCATCAATCCGATGTGTGCTAAAAATTTGGCACGAGGTCAAATGTCACGAAAATGAGTTTTTCGCGATTTTTACCGAAACCGTGCATTTTTTCGTAAAAGCTGTCGAGACATAAATTGTAGTGGTTTTTAGGAAAACTTATATCGAAGTTTTTTGTAGAATTTTGTAATTAACAATTTGTACTTGGGTAATTTTGCAAAAGTCACGGTTTTTACTAAAAATCATTTTCTTAACCTTAAACCTCGTGCCAAATTTTTAGCACACATCGGTTCGATGACGACTTTTGAGGCTTCTTTTATAATCATGTTTTGAACGATTTTGCCAAGTTCCAGCTTCTTAGAAATTTATGTAACCTTCCTCCTTATTTTAGGCCTAATCGACCGGATTATAACAAGACTCGTACTTTCGTGTGTTAGTGTAACACCTAAAATGCCATTCTTATTCCGAGATAAGTTGTAAATTTCGGTTGTTAATGTTTGTTGGTATCGTGGTATCGTATATCTAATAGTTTTATTATACGAAATTATGAACTAAACTCACCTCTTGCCGTATTATGCGTCCCTGTGGTACATTTTGCTAAGTTTCAACATTCAGTGCCCGCGACGCGTTTGTGCGTTTTCATTACACAACGCTATGTGCCGCCGACTCATATGTGCGTATCTTTTAATTTATATATGCTCACCTCTTGCCATATAATGTGGTCCTGGTACTTTTCATTAAATTTCAACACTCGTGCCCATGACGCGTTCGCGCGGCTTCACTAAACTACACAACACTGCACGCCCCCGACTCATACGCGTTCGAATACCGGTTTTCTTTTGTTTAAACTACACAAACCTCTTGCTATATTATGCGACCCTAGGAATTTTCACCAAGTCTTTACTCTTGGTGCCTACCCTACGACGCGTTTGTGCGTTTTCTCAACACTATGTCATCGACTCATATCTGCGTTTGAATACTGCATATCTAAGAACTACACGAACCCTGATCCTCAATTAGCAAATTATCTGTAGTTACGTGGTCTGGATATGAGTTGCACTTGGAATATTTACTAAAGACCTAGGTACCTTCAATTGCCAACTATACTTAAATGGTTTATTATTTTTAATTTTCTTGCTGCAAAAACCAGCCTAGACCTAATACAGACAAGAAGACAAGCATTCGTTTTGTAGTAGGTTCCTACTACAGCGGCCCATGCACGTCGCTGGAGCTGCTCAGACATTCGACTGACGTACCTACTAAGGCCGTCTACAGCTCCACAGATTTTATTATAACTAATTTATCTCATCGATTACGTCCGGTAATGGCCAACGGCTTATTGAATCCGTCTTTTTGTGGCGCCTTTTTATTTGGAGATCGCGTCTAGAGCAGGCGGGCTCGCGGGACCCCGCCGCGATGGCATCCATGGAATGCCTAAAAGGTGACTCGTGGATAAATTACGGACATTTCTTCCATTTTAACGATTCCCTTTATTATTTAATTTATTTTTATCGTATGTTACACATTTGGCTTATAACAATGTTTGTTTTTGGGTTTCATTAGCATAAAGCTCACGCTGGGGTGGAAAAAAATGGAGGCTCGGTCATATTGGTTTTTCGATAGGATCTATTTTATGTTATGATGGGTGTTATTCGTTAAAGAGCTTCACGTGTCTATAAGGCAGATAGTGGGATGTCTCAATTTAGTAATTTGTCGGTTTTTTATCATATCGGGGATGTGACATAATAAAACAATAAATTTATGGCGGCTCGTGGAGATGATTTCGATCAGATGACCACAGGCGCGCGCCTCTCCGCTGGACGTTAATTGTTTTATGAAACGAGTAATTTTTATTAATTGCTCTTTGATGGGAATTGTACTGGGAATTATCAAACATTGTTTCCATGCGGGACCTGTCACTACGTGTCATGTTCTTTATTGTGTTATATGTTACGCACTATCTATTTAAGTAGGTACCTACCTACTTACCATATTATGAAACAAAAATACACACAGACAGACCAAACTTCATCTATTATTATAAAAAACAGCTGCCTTGCAATAAAACTGGACAATAGTTGGTCATACTTTTGTAATGCAATGAATCAAAAACAATACAGTAACAGCTTGTTTTGTGCGGAAACAAGTAACAGCTGTAAATCACGGAGACACACACAACTATAGTTATTTATTAGGGGTCATTTGTATCCCCAAATACCTAAGCAACTTATTTATTATTTGTCTTTAAATGATTTACTGGTTTTAAGTTTAAATGAAGTCTTTTAATAATTGTGAATCTGATTTCTTTGTTATCTTGTAGGTACACGTTCTACGAATTAGTTTTTATTAAATTGAATGGGTTTAACAAAACGCTAGAATAATTCATGGCGACAAAAAAAACAACAATTTTTTATAACAAAAAATATAATTTTATTTTCTATTGTTATAAATAAAGTACAAAAATAAATAATTCTAAATCATTATCACTGGTTGTTTTAACATAATTACGATATCTATGTAGCCTAGATATAGTCTGATTCAGTTGTACTATTAGAGGCACATTGACACAACTTTTTACTAATAAATAGGCATAACATTTTTATTGACCTGATTTCTTGTACCTACTTAATACTATCGGTTTTAAAAAAGGTTGTCTATAAGTCTAAAAGTTAGTTAGGTATAGTTTTCAAAATTTCTATTAGGTATAATTATTTCTTAGGTATCATTGTAATTGTAATTGTAACGCAATATACGTAAATACAGCTTAGCAAAAAAGACCTTGATGCGGTGGCAACTGGAACTTAATATTGACTTGGACTGTATCACCCACTTCGAACCATACTCCACGAATATACAATCAACCAAACACAGTATCTCCTCTTTATAGCTTGATATAAATAACAAATATTAAAACCGATTGAGTCGTAGTGTACTAGGCTGCCATACACAGGTATGGTACTAGCGAGTTCAGCGTCATCAATTTATTTCAAATTCTTTTTGCCAACTTGTACATTATATAGGCATTCTAGACATATAGGTATATAACTTTTAATTGTATTGTAACTTTCCTGAGACATACTAAATAAATTATTGTTTTCGGCTTACTTACGGCTCGGGGGAATAAATATGAGCCTCTAGCATGGCTTGAAACTAGTCGAGTTCCTCGTCAAATTATTACGTGAGTAAGCCGAAAGCATAATAATATAACTTTTACTTAAAATATATAACTTAAGTACAAAATATTGTAGGTAACTATAGATAGGTAGGTAGTGTTTCTATATCACATTTAAGATACATAACAATAAGTATTAAGTGCCATAATCTACAACTTATTATTCATTATCTGTTTGTTTAAAAGTGTTGATTTTATTCAAGCGTTCGCAACTTACATATAAAAGATTAAATAACTGTATTTATTAATTAAACTTAATTTATTAAATTATAATACAAAAATTAAGAATACTTAGTTATTACAATATTAGGGCCTGTTTCACAAATTGCTGGTTAAGTAGTTCGTAGTTTACCTGGTACATAATTGTGTTTCCCAGAGCACGGAATGTGTTAAAATAATTTGTCAGAAATGCTAAGAGTAAAGGTACTAAGTAACCTAACTAGCATGGCTCCGGTACGACTCCCAACCTAGCAATTAACTTGTTATTTAAACTGTCAAACACCGCGAGGACACCGGTGACCGCAACCTATTCTTTAATTGTGTCTATAATGACGGTACTCAAAGGGTTAAATATGAACTTTAAATGTTATGTCGTATGATATATTTCATAATACCAAAATAATGTAAAACAGTATAAAAACCGTTTTATTCTGTCTCCAAATAAAAAAAAACCCGTGCCGGACCCGTGCTTGCTAGGTGTGGAATAACCTTTACTGAAACAGACGTTATGAAATAGACCCTTCATAGTAAATTTATACTTTCTTAGAAAATACTTAATACAGCTTCGAAGCTGAATTTATAAATATTTATATGCAGATAAACCACATAATCTAGGAAAATCCTTTTGGCTTAAGCACACATACATACATAGTGAAAAAAGCTGTGATTCACCCCAAGACCTCTTGGGCGAGGCAGTGTTTTTAATAAGTACCTACATAGTATACAATACATATAAAACATAATACACAATGACATATAACAGGTTTAATGTTCAGAGGTCGAAAAATAAGCACAAGTTTTGGTTTATAACTGCAAAAGCAACCGCCTCTCGACCGTGGTCGCGTCGGTCGGTCCTGTACCTAGATACTTAAATTACTACTAATGTATTTTTATTTTCTGAATTTATATAAATCTACTTACTAATACATAAGTAAATGAATTTGTATGCGTCAAGGCAAAACATAGACGGACTCGCTGCATTGCACTGTATGTCAATTTCATTTCATTAGAATTGTAAGAACAATTTCTTTTATTTTGTTTCGAGAGCGTTGCATCGTGTAACATTATAATTAAGTACCTAAATATAAAATATATACAATATATGCAAAGCTCGCAGATGAGCGAGACTCAAGCGTATCCTCTCCTATTTAAGTTGTAGTACAGTCCTTTAAGTTCGAGTAGTTCACTATGTGTCCCCATCTCCGCGACCTGTCCGTCGTGGATGACGCAGATGACGTCAGCGTCTCGGACTGTACTGAGTCTGTGGGCTATCATCACACAAGTACGGCCTGCCTTGGCCGCGTCTAATGCTTCTTGTACCACCTAGAGAGAGAAAGAAAAGTTTTTAAAATACTACCTTCGCTTACCTTCTACCAGCGGTCTTTGTGTTATGGCAGACCATAATCTACCCCTGTTTCAAATTTTATCTCCATCTTTTCAGCCGTTTTGACATAACAAACACACAAACACACACACACACACACATACTCACAAACTTTCGCATTTATAATATTAGTAGGGCTTACTAGGTTTGCTCACCTTTCATCATCAACAGCCTATAAATGCCCACTGCTGAGCAAAGCCTCTTCTCACACGGAGAAGGTTAGAGCATTAATCACCACGCTTGCTCAATGCGGGTTGGCGATTTCAAACTTATAATTTGAAATTATAAGTCCAGGTTTCCTCACGATGTTTTCCTTCACCGTTTGTTAGTGGTGTCTAAATAATCTTAGAAAGTACATATAACTCGGAAAAAGTCACATTGGTACTTGCCGTTGGTAGGTTTTGAACCCGCACCCTCATGCATGAGAAGCGGGCGTCTTAAACCTCCGGACCACCACGACCCACCTTTAGGTACACAAGAATTTTGTCATGTGTCGTTGGTGTTTTACAAACACATGATTGTCATATCAAGCAACAATTTTTGAATTACATAAGGATTTGTTTTGTGCGGGATTGAAATCTCCGATATGTTGCAGTAGCTCAATATCCTGTCTTACAGCTAGGACTTCAATGACTCAGATAAAGTGATCGCTTGCATTATCCATGAGTGTGGTTATAAGTGCCCCCCCCCCCCTCATACAAACGCACTTGTAACTCCTTTACAAATAGCTTCACTTTAAATTTTTTGTTAACGTTCAAAAGTGCCTTTCTGGTCTAATTAAAATATAATATTGACTTTGACTTTGGTATTGCGCTGCCGGTCCGTGGGAGGTACAGATTGCTTACTATCAGGTAATGTGTTCGTTAGCTCCATATCTTCTTAAAAAAAGAACATCAGTTGTCCATACCTTTTCGCTCTCAGTATCGAGTGCGCTGGTGGCCTCGTCCAGCAGTAACATCTTGGGTCTCCGTATGAGAGCGCGCGCGATGGCCACTCTCTGCTTCTGTCCGCCTGATAGCTGCGTGCCTTTAGCACCGATGTTTGTGTCATAGCCCTGTTGGAGTACAAAGTTAAATTATAGTAGGTACATTCACATTGTTCATGTGGAAGAGATCAGGTGATCTATAGGTGGTAGTAGGATGGTACAGGCGAGTCTTTGGGTCCTTTTTTTTGAGGGTGGCCAGCCTTCGTGCACCTTGGGTGAGGCGAGAGGGAGTGTCAGACTCTTACTGACCAAAATCCACCCCGTTCCTACTCCTGCTTTTCGAGCTGGAGCCCTGGCAACCCGTCAGGCCTTCCGCGGCTCCATATCAGGCTCTTTGAGTCACGCACGTACGTACGGGTCTGGTTCTGGTCATCCGCCGGACTGCGAGCAAGGGTATCTCGCCGTCCGCAGACCCGCACTTACGGTGGCCGGAGATCGTCGCGCGATCTCCAACGCCCGGAGTGTTTGCCACGACAGGTCTTTGGGTCTTAAGACTGAGATTCTAGCTTCCCACACAGTGATCATGAAGATGGTGTGACAGTATTACGTGCTGCCGTGTACAAAAAGGCTTTATGGACATTTATATCTCTAACGTTGAAATATTCAAACATCACTCAAATTTAAGACGCGCTTAAGTATAGTTCCGTCTCCACAAATTCTTTTTAATATGACAGAGATGGCACAACATTTAAGTATAACTTAAAATTGAGAAGCCTTTCTGTACTGTGGCGTAAAATCTATCCCCATTCCACTCCAAAATTAATAAGTTCTTAATCAGCGTGTTTAGGGCAAATATAAGGCATGTTAATGCTTAAGTACAGTATGAATAAAGTCTAATATTCAGTCAGGCAGAATACACTAAGAGACGTTCAGCCTAGTTCTGGAAACTTCATGACTATGGTTTGGATGACAAGGCTAATGATCAACCACTTACCAAAGGCAGTGAAGTGATAAAGTTATGTATGTTTGCCTGCTTGGCTGCCTCGATGATCTCGTCGTTGGAGACGCGTGCCTCGTTGTTCCCGTACGCGATGTTCTCCCCGATGGTTCGGTCGAACAGGATCGGTTCTTGTTGCACGAAGCCTATCGCCCGACGAGCGTCTACTAGCTTTAGCTTCGGAAGTGGTACGCCGTCTTGAGCCTGGGTATCATTGAGTAGTAGAAAGGTGTATTGGCTTAACGATTCAAAGAATAAAAATTGCCGTACTCAGGTATTTAGTGAGTATTTAAACTATTTCTCATTCCTCGGTAATGATTTTGTTCCGAAAACAATTTGTTAAGGACTGGGTTAAGTAACCATTGAATATCTCCGAGTACCTCGGTAAGTATTTGAACACAAATAGTATACAACATAGTTTTTAACGACTTGAAAAAAGGAGGAGATACTATGTTAGAATGATTGGTATGTAATGGCAAAACTGATTGGATTTTTTTGAAGGCAATGGTCGTAAACCTTACTTTTGAAAACCATGATAATTATATTTTAATATCCTTGAGCACTTATTAGTTGAAACTTGTGACTCACCACAATGCCGTCCTCAGGATCGTAGTACCTCTCCAACAGTTGTATGACGGTACTCTTCCCGCACCCACTAGCTCCCACCAGTGCCACAGTCTTACCGCGCTGTATCTCCAGGTTCAAGTCCTTCAGTACTCGCACCAGAGGCCTGGTCGGATATCTGAATTGAATGCCCTGGAGACTCGCTTCTCCTGTACCGTTCTGTACGAAGAGATGCAGAGAAAATGATTAGTGCTTACAATAATTGTGTGAGCAACGATATGGACGGAAAAGGTGTTTGAGATAATTATGATGACGTCTGATAGGAAAAAATAGAAACAGAATACATATATTGGTTAGTGCTAAAAGAAAAAGATAATGGACTGGTATAAGACAAGGCTTGATCGCTGTTCCCTATTACATGTACGGCAATGGTAAAAATAAGTCATACTTTGGAAGTCGTAATTCTGTTAATTATAATCACGTGTAACAAAATAATACTTACAAAGTGTTTGACAGCAGGTTCAGCTGGGTCAGTGATCTTGGACTGTCGTCCCAGTAGTACGATGACACGGCCAGCTGCCTTGATACCCTTCTGGAAGTTGGGTGCGAAGGCAAACGCCTGCGCCGCTGACGTAGCACCCATCAACAGAGCTTGAGCTGACCTAATGGATAATACTAGGATTAGGGATACAGCTTGTTGACTGAAAATACCTATTTCTGTATTCACTTCAGTCATGTTTGATGGCTGAGTTGGTTCGTTTGTTGCGCAATGCCACTCATAACTTTGAGCCCCAGGCATGGCTTGAAATCAGTCGAGTGGCCTCATCCAACAATTACGCGAATAAGTAAGAGTTAGAAAAACGTATTCATAAATTATGAAAAAAATATATTGGCTTTTTAGCTATCTTTTATTGACTTTTCCTACTAAACACTCCAACGGTCTAATGTATGTATGTACTTTTATCTCTAAATTGGGAAAAGACGTTGCCAACTGCTTTTGGTGACTTTAGTTACAAGTGGAAAATAAATTACCGACTAATATTTTTTACAACCATCAAAATAAAAGACAGGGAACAAAGATGGAACTACTTTAAAAGTCTACGTCAGCGTCAGTTAAGGCTAGTCCACAAAACTTACTTGAAGACTTCTTCGAAAGGTACGCCTTCGTTGATGACGATGGTTCCACCGTAGTACAATGAGCTGGCGATGACGAAATTGAACACTCCTCGAGACATGCCGAATACTAAACCACGCCAGTGAGACGTTCGGATGGCAGTGTCCAGCGCTGGACGGAGCTGCTTCGAATACTCACGACGGAAGGTCTCTTCACGACCTAGCGAGGCTACCGTTCGGACGTTGGCTACGGCTTCTACGGCTATCTAGAATACCAAAATAGTGCCCAATAAGTATAACTAGAATAGTTACTACTCTTACTCTGCTCGTGGGAGTCGGAGGACAACTGGTAACGGACTGCCAAAGGTAGCGCTCTCTGATAAATTCGAAACTTTTAAACGTTAATTATAACATTTTTAAAATGAAGCGCTGGAGACTATAGCAATCATAGCAATGTCCTCTAGATTCATCATACTCATCGAGTGTGGGAGAGCCTTGCTTCGGCACGTATGGGCCGACCGGAGACGGCTGACGGACGGACGGACGGACGACACCACGGCCTCACAGAAAACCAGAAAACGTGAAACAACGTTTGCTTTGTGTTTCGTCGAGTAAGTGAGGTTACCTGAGGTCTGACTACCCGGGGTCCCTTCCCCAACTTCCCCAATCCCTGAATCCCCAACATTCCTCAAATTCCTAGCCTACAAAAGGCCGGTAACGCACTTGTAATGCCTCTGCCCTTGGGCGATGCCGATTCTTTTTTTTTATGGCATAAGCCGGTAAACGAGCAGACGGATCACCTGATTTTAAGCAATCGGCGTCGCCCATGGACACCTGCAACACCAGAGGCGTTACAAGTGCGTTACCGGCCTTTTGGGGGGATTAGAAGTTTGAGGATCGTTGGGGATTCAGGAATTGGGGAGATCGGGGAAGGGGAGGGCTTCCGGTGACCTCACTCACACGACGAAACACAACGCAAGCGTTGCTTCACGTCGGTTTTCTGTGAGGCCGTGCTATCACTCCGGTTGAGCCGGCCCATTCGTGCCGAAGCCTGGCTCTCCCACACTTAAAATTTACTATAAGGTGATCCGTCAACTCGCTTATCGGCTTATCCCATAAAAAAATACTCATAATCAAACAGCAGTGCAGCAGGGCATGACTTGAACAAAGCTTTTAACATTTTTGGAGTCTTAGAAGAAAAATGTTAGTTAGCGAATTTCCCTATTTCAAAGAAAATGGATACCACTTTTAATACTAAACAAATATGGATATTTACCTTAGAACTAGTCTCCATGACCTTAACAGTGCCAGAAGTAGCGATATAAGTCATTCTTCCTTCCTTGTAGAGCACGAATATGATGATGGGCACGAAGGTCAGGGCCACCAAACCCACTCGCCACTCGAAGATCAGTGAGAGTACCAGAGCGAAACCAAATGTACCAACTGCTTGTACCACTGTACCAATCCTTTGACCTGTAGCCTGGTGAAAAGGAGAAGAACTCAGGTTATTAACCGATTTCACAGAAACAAGGAGGTCCTCAGAATGATTTATTTTATTAGGTTTTTACATTTTTGTGTGGCAATAGCAGCCATGCAAAAAAATATATGTATGCAGTTGAAAAAAAAATCGGAACTTTTTTGTCATTATAATAATGAGAATCAGGGAGATAGAACGGGGTGAGTTTTAGTCAGTAAGAGTCTGACACTCTTACGCCCCACCCTGGATGGGAGAAGGAATTATATGATGGTATCTCCCCTCAAAAATAAAGGTATCCTCACCCCTTGCACGGCGGCGGCCTCCCCAGAGAGTCTAGCACAGAGAGCTCCTGTAGCGTTGTCCTTGTCATCATAGAAACCAATGTCCATCTCCAACATTTTACTGAACATCATCAGTCGCAGCCGTTTGGTTAATGCTTCACCCGCTATTCCGTAGAAGAATACCTAGAATTTATAATAACTTGGTGTAATTGGTATCTTAATGTGTAATATATGTATAAATCAGGAATAATAGTTTAACCCTTTGAGTACCGGTGTCCTTTGACAGTTTAATAGCTAAAGTATCCAGAACCATAATTTCTCAATTTTAGAATTTCGGGGAGGTAATTATCTACTAAGTCTGAGCTGCCAGGGGTTTTAAACTGACTATGATCCAAGTGTGGGGAATGTAAATAGGTATTATAAAAATGTAAAGGAACGTACCACAATGAAGTTAGTAATGCCAGAGAACACACCGATGCCAACAAATATCAGCGACAATCGAGTCACTCCTTTTTGAATTTCATCTTCGTCATCACCGTCAAGTAACTGAAACAAATACACAATTTTTTATCCTAGGAAACATTGAAGTGTTTAATTAGAATAGGGTACGAAACTACGAGACTGATTTGATAAATAAAAAATAATTTTGGACGGCGATTTCTGAAGTGTGAATCATACGAAGAGCTAAAGATCGAGCTCAATATCGTAGTACTATTATAGAATTCTGTGTCCAGTACAGCCGACGAAAATCAAATATTAATCGACCAATGGTGTGACACCAGCTAATTCCCTATTGGACGAATAACAAGGGGTTCACAGTAGCGCCATTTGATATCCTGTACTATTTGAGGCCCGTGGCTAATTCATTGGTTGGGCCCTATTTGCCTATTACAGAAAAGTTCTGATGAGAACCTCTGAAGGGGGCTCCTTTTAGCTGGGGCCTGTGACATTTTGCTGACTTCCCACCCTGTAGTTACGACACTGAGTGGACTCTTATCTACACAATGTTGATAAGTGAGTAAGGTAAATCTTACCGATAGAAAGTCTCCAAAGATGACAGCGAACAGTGGCATGCAGAAACCGCTCAGAAGTGAACAGATGCTGGCAAGGGTGACAGACTTCCACTCCGGCTTGTTCAACTTCAACACTCTCCAGAAGGAAATGTCAGAGGCTTGAGCGGCGTCCTCTTCTTTGTCCTGGATACAGACGAAAATGTATTGTATGTCTAAGGAATTTTAGGTACATTACTCATTGTTTATGGTGGAATGTCATATTGAATGTATTAGTCACTTTTGGTCAGTTATGAACCCCATATAAAACGGGGTGACATTTCTAGTCTCCATGCTGAGGGCATCAAAAATTTCAATAATATTTTGCTTTTGGCAATTAATGGATATTTTTCACCGGGACACGGTGGCGGCACAACCATTTCCATTTCCACCATAATCCTCAAATTCCTAATCCTCAAAAGGCCGGTAATGCACTTGTAACGCCTCTGGTGTTTCAGGTGTCCATAGGTGGCGCCATTAATTAACCAAAGTATACTCACATCATTCCGGAATTCCAAGAACTCGTCTTCGTCATCCTTCTCACTGATTATGGAAGTCTCGCGAGACAATTTAGTTTTTTCTGCAAAATATCAGTATCAAGTTTAGGGTAAAGAAGAAATCGTTAATTCGAAGTGTTGTTTCCTAAAAGATCGAGGCAAATTATTACCACTTTTTTTGTTATGCCATAAACCAACCTACAAGAAAGTACCTAGTCCTGATGTCTTAGGAAGGAAGCCTTGTCTTGTCAAACAGTAAGGTTAAGGACTCACGGCACGATCTTCTCCCGCGCCAGCCGCAGTGGCGGAATGAAGGCGGAATTTTCAAAAATCACAAGATCGCACTTTTTTCCGGACCGCGGCCACGCCCGTCGGTGCAGCGGGAATAGCAAACAATTGCTTTAATTTTTTACATACATATCTGTATTCTACAAAGGCCCGCAACCGCAGCGGGCGCTGGAGAAAATCGCGCCATGAATCCTTAGCTTAAGTAAGAATTAGTCTACCAACTGTAAAAGCACAAATCAATGAAAATTATACAAAGAGTATTTAATAATTACCAGGCGACTGGTCATCCATTCCAGGGAGGTTCTGCAGCATCACCATATCGTAGTAGTGTCCCTTACTTGCCATCAGCTCCATATGGTTCCCACATTCCACCACTAGACCAGCCTTGAACACGTATATCACGTCCACGTTCCTGATTGTGGATAGTCTGTGAGCCACCACTATTGTTGTGCGACCTTCTTGTGCCTACAATATAGATAATCAATTAATTTTATAATTAGAATAAACATCCCTGTAACATTATGCAGATAGTCGTTGATGAAGATTAGTAGGTAAAGTTGATTAAGGGCTCCGGTTGAGCTCGAAACCAGTTGAGCATCGTCGTAATACAATGAGTTCAACAAGTGCCAACAGTACCATGAATATTTAACTCAAATATAAAATACATACTTATTCTTTTTAATGTTTCAAGAGTATTACGGAATATTTTTTATTAGTAAGTATTTATGTTTTAAGATTTTCTTACCTTATCAAGTGCTTTCTGTACTTTGGCTTCGGAGGAAGTGTCGAGGGCGCTGGTAGCCTCGTCCAGTAGCAATATCTTCGGGTTCCGGACTAGGGCTCGAGCGATGGCAATACGTTGTTTCTGACCACCTGACAGTGACGCACCACGCTCTCCCACCAGTGTATCGTAACCCTGCCATTGTGTAATTAGATTTAGATTTAAATTTCCCCAATCCTCGAATCCTCACAATCCTCAAATTCCCAATTCTCAAAAGTGTGGTTAAACGCACTTGTAACGCCTTGGTGTTTCAGATGTCCATGGGCGACACCGAATGCTTACCATCAGGTGATCCGTCTGCTCCTCTACCGGCTTATGCCATAAACAATTTTAAATTGAACATTGCCATAAGTAATGTAGAGAAAATTAGTTAAGAAAGTGTGTCTTTTTATGATGACTTTACAGCAAAGTTCAGGTTTCAATACATTTTTGGGTATGGGTAATTTATCATGAAAAATATATGTCTTTGTTTTTCGCACTAGAAGAGGACTAAGAGTCTTCGGGACAGTTTAAAGGTCTTGCTGATTGTCTTGTTTGTGATCAAAAATATTGGACAATTTTGTTGCTTATTTTAATTGGACCTTATAATATAGAACTTACCTTCGGCAGCTTCATAATAAACTGATGTGCATTAGCTTGTCTGGCGCAGGCTTCTATCTCCTCAATAGTGGCATTCTCACGTCCATAACGAATGTTCTCCCTGACAGTAGTGTTGAATAGGACGGGCTCCTGGCCTACTAGACCGATCTGTTCTCGGAGCCAACGGACTGATAGGTCACGGACATCATTACCGTCGATGGCGACCTATAAATATTTTGGATCAAGTTGGAAGGATTGCAAATATTTTTAATTGGAAAATTACATTTCGGATAGTACAATTGCTAGATTGAATTTCTTTATTACAAATATAATAGGTAATAGGTGAAAATTGATACTTTATACAATTTCTATTTTGCAAAATTAATTGATGACAGAGTCGGTGGTATCTGTAGATCTTAATATTATATTTGCTTAGATACTATAATGGTATATTAGTTATCTATGGTAATAAAGTTTTAGTAGTATATTATATTTCATGAACACACGTGGATCAGATTAATCACATGGTCGACGAAACCCTTTCTATTATTGCGTCAGCCAATCTAATTTTACCTACATTTAAAGTTTATCAGTCTACGCGTATTCAGTGACGAGATATTAAAGTTATTAATACTTTCTATACGGTTTTTAACAACATAACATAACATCACGCCTTTTATCCCCGAAAGGGTAGGCAGAGGTGCACATTACGGCACTGTAATGTAACACCGACTTTTCACTATTTATGTTATGAGTCCCATGTAATAGGGGGTGAGCCTATTGCCATATACCGGGCACAGTTCCAGACTCCGCGCTACCACTGAGAAAAACCCAGTAATACATTGCCCGACCTGGGAATCGAACCCGAGACTCCTTCCCCGGCAGTCGCACTTGCGACCACTCGGCCAATGAGGCAGTCAATATACGGTTTTTACTTGCTTAAAAAATTTTGTGTTCAAACCAATAGGATTTTATTCGCTAGTGGCGCCTCCTAGTCAGCGCAAATATTGAACAGAAACACACAATTTATAGCAAAATCGACTTACACTTCCTTCGACGACGTCGTAGAATCTGGAGATGAGTTGTATGATGGTGGACTTGCCGCATCCTGAGTGGCCAACTAGTGCCACGGATTGACCACGCTTCACCTTTATGCTTACACCTTTTAGTACCTGCGAAGGATTTGTCATTCAGTTTGGTTCAGAGGCTTGCATATAAAGCGTATCTAATCAATCTTCTTTGAATATTTGTTTATTTACACTTTGCAACAACACGCATAGAGGCAGAAACAGAGCATCCCTAAAACACTATTGCATTTCATAAGCTTCAGCATGTTTTACTAGTCCACCCTATGATGATGAGAAACAGGTTTAATTAGTAACAATTATCAATAAGAGAAATACCTAATCTGTAAATTCTATATTTAGGTTATCACGCCTAGCTAAACGATAAGGCATTAAGTCTTACACTTTCTGCAAATAACATATACTACTATAATAATGTTCCAAGAAGTATGTACCTAATGTGTAATTACAAGGTATGCAACATGGATGTATACCTTATATTAAAGTGATCAAAATTCAAATGTGATTTCTATGCAAGAGGTTCCTATTATAGTTATTTTACGGATCGGGCAATCAATATAGTTAGCTAGATATTATAAAATTAGATTTTATAAAGCGTTACGATTTCTGCCGTGGTGACGTCAATTGATTCTGACTACTAATTCATTTAATTTAATATCTGGTTGAAGATCTATAAATATAATGTAGGAGATGAGTGAATGTTCCCAAAATGATGCCTGTGAAATCTCCTACCTCTTGTTAACATCGTATTTAAAAATCTTTGATTTAGATAGGTTAGTCAAATTATGCTAAAACAATAAATAATTATGTCGGTATTTACCAAAGATAATATGCCAAGAAAATAGGCAGTGAATCATAAAGATAATAGCATAAATAAAGGACATATTATCTGTATGAGTTGCGAATTTTTGGACTCCGATCACACTTCTAGTGAATGAAATTAACAGGTGTTTAGTGATAAACATATATTTTTAATCATTTCAAATCGATTTGTTTATAATTTTAAGGCGCAATAAAGAATGGATCCATGCGACGAAGCTGGATCCATTGTAAGCGGAAAAACTGAAAATCAGTAGGGGAATTATATTTGTAGGTAAAACACCATTTCTTGAAACACTTACGATCTTCAGTCCAATAATGATCGTGAGTGAGACATTAGTAATGTCTAAAATAAATCATTACCAAATATTTTAGTATAGGTACCTAGAGACTGACGATTTAATAAAACGGCATTATTTAATTGCCTAAACAGCCGTACAAAACTTCTTGAATGTTATAAGAACAAAAATGTTGATAAAAGAAACTAATTTATCAAAAATTTGGCATGACTACATTACATAGGCTCCCTTATCTTTCCTATGTATTGACGTATAGTAATACGGAACGTTTAATAAAATAAAATTGTAGAAACTTATCAGTGACTAATTGCTTGCTATTGAATTGTTTTTATGTTATCGAAATTATGAAAACACTAGTTTTTACCCGCGGCTTCGCTCGCGTCACAAAACGATAAAAAGTAGCCTATGTGACATATACCAATACACACAGCGCCATCTATACCAATAATTTAGATTTTCCTCGAGAATATCAACTACTTCTAACTTCACGTCTGCAAAAATTCAGAGCAATCGGTTTAGTAGTTACGGCGTGAAAGTGGAACAAACAAACAAACTCACTTTCCGATTTATAATATTAGTAAGGATTGAATTTGTCGCTCGTAGGTACTTATCTAATAATTTTTACCACTAAAACTTTTTTAAATATACTTACAGGAACATCAGGTCTGGATGGGTAGTGGAACTCAACGTTCTTCAGCTCGATGTTGCCCTCAATATTACTGGGCACTGTGCCCCTGTTCTGTAGGGGGTTGATAGTGGGGACATTGTCGATCATGTTGAAGATGTGCGCACCGGCTCCGCGGGCCGATCCGAACACTTCCATCAGAGTCGACGATATACCGAAGTTTGCTGAACCAGTCATTACACCGAAGAATACCTGGGGATTAGATAAACTTTATTATGTTTCTGCCCCTTCTGTATGTAGTCGAAAGTCGTCGCAGTTATTATAATCAAAATGTGCATGTTAATCGACTTCAAACCGCGCTGAGAATTGGCGTAGCTAAATTAAATAATTGAGATATAAAATACATATTTTGAGTACTAAAATACTAATACGATTTCATACATGGCAGCATTCAAAGAGTTTCAAATCTTTAAAAAGGAATAATGTTATCCAATACCTAATAACTACACCCAATCACTAAGATAATCTAATTTTATTTTATTTTTATTTATTGAATGGTGAATCAACAGCTAAGTACATTACACAGATAGTAACGTATTAAGTTAACAATTGACTTACAGCAATCATGGTAGAAACATCGTAATCGTCAGTTACCATCAATCTGTAACCGAACCAGAAGGAGAGTGCGTAGGCGCAGAATATGCAGAAGAATAGGCAACCCATTGCCAGGCCGGCGAACAAACCTGAAAGAAGATTGTGTCATCATCACCATCTTCATCATCATCAGCTGAAAGACGTCTACTACTAAATAAAAGCCTGTCCCTTACAAAGATCGTGTGTGAAGAAAGAAACTGTGCGCTTCTTCTCTCTTTTTTTCTCTGAAGGGTCCCTTTGTCTACGCAAAAGGTGCATATTGCAGCACTTAATGCCAGTGTACAATGTAACACCCACTTTTCACTATTTACGTTATGAGTCTGTATAGGGGGTGAGCCTATTGCCATATACCGGGCACATTTCTAGGCTCCGTGCTATGACTGAGATTAAAAAAAAAACCATTGATACTTTGGCCCTCCCGGGAATCGAACCCGAGACCCCTTGATCGGCAGTCGCATTTGCGACAACTCAGCCAATGAGATAGTCAACTGGGCATTTCACTTCTTTCTTTAACCTAACCCTTTTGAACTACGATCTCCAAACAGCCTGACAAGTGTCGGTATTGGTAAATCCCATTTAACTCGTCGATGGGGATGATGACAGGGTATGAAAATAAAAAATCTAATTAGTCCGTAAGTTAGGTAATTAAAAAATATAGGACACGTATTTTTTTATTTTGTCGTATAATAAAACAATACTTAGATAAAACGAATCAAAGTTTAGGAGTGGGGGCTAAAACGTCATTTCTCAGTATAAATTGTACTGAGAAGTGACGTCACGCGACATTTCAAATCAATATATCTTCGAAACTATTCGTTTCCGTAAGAAAATAAAAAATACGTGTCTAATGTTTTTAAATAATCTACCAGACGGATATTAAAATAAAAATTAGTCGTCTACCCTAAGAACAATAGGTTGTGGTCACCGGTGACCGCTTGGTGTTTGACAGTTTAAGTAAAGAAGTTCATAGTCCAATAATAAACTGTCAAAGGTGGTTGATATACTGCTTACTCCCGCGCGGTTATACCGGCTCTGCTCTGTTCCTATTGGTCGCAGAGAGATGTTCTATAGCCTAAAACCTAAAACCTTCCTCTATAAATGTACACACGGCCCCACATCAATCTATACAAAACCAGTTTATCCTGGTGTCGCGTCGTATCATCTTTCCGCACATTTAACGTTCAGTTTATACTGGTTATGTAAAGCTCGATGTTTAGCCGTGTGTACTATGTAACACAAAAACAATTTTTGATATCGAACCAGTAGTTCTGGAGATTAGCGCGTTCAAACAAACAAACAAAATAACTCTTTATCACTATACCTATAATAAGAAAGTATAAAAATATAAGATGAACAATATGATTGCACTTACTTTTCTTAACATTGATCTTCCTAGCATCGTTGAGATGTCCTTCATATCTCTCGAGCTCCTTTTCCTGGCCACTGAAGGCGTACACTGTCCTGATGGCAGATATCACCTCCTCAGCGATAGCACCTGCTTTACCGGTCGCTATAGCTTCTTTCTTTGAAAGACTTGCAGCTATCTGTTGGGAAAATTTTACTTATCACCTTTTCGCTTTGTGTGATAACGATGCTGAAGACCGTGACAAGTGTGGGAGTGGGAGAGCCATGCTTCGGCACGAATGGGCTGACTCAACCGGAATGATACCACAGCCTCACAGAAAACCGACGGGAAACAACGCTTGTGTTGTGTTTCGTCATGTGAGTGAGGTTACCGGAGGCCCAATCATTTTGTGTATCATTGATCTTTCCCCGGTACTTTCTTGACAGAGTAGTACTTTGCGCTCCTAATTATTGAACATTTGCCCATCATCACAGCTACTTTAGTGGTATACTTCGGATCCAAGGGCAAGGCGTTCAAGTATACAATGCAAGTTTTCCCGAATCAACCACGGGACCAAAGAGAGTATTAAAATGTATTATTGTATTTTCGATAAAGTATTGAATGACGTAATTTTCTAAGTTCTTACATTTGAGGTTTATTACATCACCTCGTTTAAATATAGGCGCATTATATTAATAGGTCGTTATCAATATAATCCATAGTACGTGCCCATTTAAAGTTTCATATAATTATATACGTACCATTACTTAAAGTCTTCCGGAAAACTGTTCCAATCTCAAGCTGAGATGAATCATGATTTTTTTTTACATTTTGGTCCCTTTAACACTTGGGGCAATGTAACGGAGCCACTAGCGCATTTTCTTTTTAATTTCTTAATAAATATTTTGCTGACGAAAATATTTTATTGATTGGTTACGTGTGTCGTATAAAAGGCAATGTAATTACTGGTTACCCTTAAAATGAGACCATTTTATTGTATAATTGTAGACTTTATTCTTTTCAAAGTTGTAGACTGTTCGATAAAATGGAAAAAAGCATACGTGGCAGCTTTATATTACTAGATATGCATGTATTATACATATAAATCTTCCTTAAGAATCACTCAATCTATTAAAAAGAACCGCATCAAAATCCGTTGCATAGTTTTAAAGATCTAAGCATACATAGGGACAGACAGACGGCGGACAGCAACTATGTTTTATACATGTTGTGGTAAAGAAAAAGTGGAAGAATTATCATTGAAAACAAAACAAATGCGTGCGTCTCTACGGATTTGTCGATATGGTCGTAGTTACGTACTTATTTATAAATCCTAATTATACCATATCAGTTATCACGATTTTCGAGTATCTATTTATTGACTTTTGGTATCAACTATCAGTTTAACACGGATCTAAGCGACACAAATAATGATAGTTATTTTTGTTATAATTATATAATATTTATTTGTATAATATTTATATACATATATGATTTTAGTTGTATAATACTAAGGTCATACGTACATTCATATTAACTATCATTGTTCTGAGATCGTTTTAATACCTATAGACCAAATTAGGTCCGCGTTTTGCCTAGGAAGGAACACGTTTGCATATAATGACTTGAATATACCCAGGCTATTCCATTCTGAAAACACAGGACTCCGGCAAAGAATTCCACTCCTTACACAAATTAGATAAGAAAATTCAACTTACCAATCCAGCGACGCCTACAAGGGTCATAGTGACGGGGAACGATATGAGACAGAGCAGAGCAAGCTTCCATCCCTTAACGAGCGCCATGATCACACTGCTCAAGAACGAAGCCTGGTAGAAGAAAAACGTCGCTAACTTCTCACCAATACCTTCTTCCAGCTTCATTATATCACTGCGAAGTATAAAACCTATTAATTTTCCAATACTTTTAATAATAAATTACATGTAGAACTCGTTCTTCGACACAAACTTAATTGGAGTTTCGCTTGTGCAATTTCATGTAGGTACGTATTTTCAAACTTCTTAATTTCTTTATAGTCGTCACCTGCCACTTTCATCTCTGCTTCACCTAAAGGTCGACTGTCAGACAATGCCCAAGGCATTAAGTCCAATTGTACATGTTTTTTTTTTTACTAAGTCCAAATAAAATAAATATAGGTACCTAATCTTAGCAGGCAATATAAGTAAACATATCATACCTGTTCATTTTGTTAGCGATTTCTGCATTTTTATGAACATCAAAGTATCCAAAGTCCTGGTTTAGAGCTGCTTTCAAATACTCTTGACGTATTACGTATACCTGTAAAAATAGGATTGCGTAAACACTTATTGATAAATAATTGTACCTATCAAAATGCATAGATGCAAAACTGTTATACGAAGACATGCTCTGTTAGCCTTGCATGAGATCTACGGACTGCGATTAGATAACCAGTTTCAGTAAAAAATTAGAGCTTATCACTGAACTTGAAGTTGTGGATAAACGTGGTCCCCAAATAGGCGATTTATAAAACAACTGGACTCGGTGACTGTGCTGCACTCTTGGTAAACTTTAATTTAATCACCACCCATACTTCTTTCCACGGGTGTCTTTGGGTCAATATTTAACAGAGACCAGCAGCGTACACTGATAAACCTGATCCTATTAAACTGCGATATTCAACTAGGTTACTAAGTGTGCAGATTATGGCAGACTCCATTCACGTAGAGGAGGCCCAGAGTATAATAGTGGCCTCACGGTGTTTTTGTTGAAGATAATGGTGATCAAAAAATAATAAACATGATTTATGTAGGTAGTAGTAATCAGTAGTAGTACGGACTCTGGAATTGTGCCCGGTATATGGCAATAGGCTCACCTTTTACATGGGACTCATAACATAAATAGTGAAAAGTGGGTGTTACATTGTACAGTGGCATTAAGTGCCGTAATTTACACCTCTACCTACCACTTCGGGGATAAAAGGCGTGATGTTATGTTATGTTATTTATGTAGGTATACGTACCTGGTTATAAGCAGCGATGTTCATCAACGTAGTGGCAGCGTAAGACAGAATCACAAGGGCCGCTCCGACAGCCGAGTTGTATATAGCAAAGTTTAACAAGGACTTCATAAAGGCATCACTATCAGAAAAGATGCTGTAATTGACCATAGCTTCTAGCAAGTATGCAAGCAACAGCGTGTTTACAGGCGTAGAGACGGCGGCGACCGCTGAACATATTAACGCCGAGATTATGAAGATTTTGTCCCTTGTCGACGCGAATCGGAACTGAAAATTTTGTATTTGGATAAAAATAGGTTCTTTGAAAGTAAATTAGTAAGATTGTGGACCATTTACCATTAACTTCCATATTAAAATTGAGAAACAATTTACAGGTACACCCAGTTATTTTCTTGTATTTTATTTATCTCATTATCATATTAGTGTTCTTTGTCGATTTTTTCATAAACTCAATAAAATAGCATTTTACTTAACGTACTTACATTTTACCTATCTACATAAACATAATGTAACACAATCTAATTCCGCTTTTATTTTTAACAATAATAAGGTCCTTTGTTTTCTACACACGTCTATGTTTAACTGATAAGCTGTAATGGCTACATGGACATTCCATTTCCAATGTAGTCTACTAACGTCAGCAACAGCGCCAGTCATGGGTAGCAAGTTAATTAGACATCGTTACACTGCTCGGCCCGATCGATATGTATACTTAAGCGCCTTTACACACGGAAATGGACGAGAATGTACCCGTAATAGGTTAATTAACCCCAATTACAGATATTTTCAACAAAAGTATGATGTTAGAAGAATTTTTATAGCATGTTTTAAATAAGTCAGAAGACAATGGGTATCAAAAAACCTTGCACTCTAATGGCCGATTTTACAACCATCTTCCTCATCAACTCTTAACTGTAGCATTAAATTGGCATCTGAGTTTTTAATATGGATGAATTGTCAAATATTCAAAGTTATTTCTCAATGAAAAGTTATCTGGCGCTGGAAAAATCGACCCTAAGTTAGAGTATTTAATGGCAATAAGTAATCTGCATACAAGTACCTTCATACAAGTAGTTAATTTCCTAAGAATTAGTAAAATTGATGTCACATTTTCTTAACCTTTAAAAAATAATTGTTTTGGTTCTCTTTATTAGCTATATCGATTTACTACTTAATACATTTCTAGCGAGAAAATAAAAGGGCATACACAAAATGAAAATTGAAATAGGTCATGCTTAGTAGATGACCTACGTAACTTGATCATAGAATTCGAAGAAGGTACCTTCTACAGAGTAGGTATCTATTAACTAGCATTGACATACCTAATCTACAGTAGGTACAGGTAATACTTGCTAGTTAATACTAGCATACCTAATCTGACATGAAAATGTAATCAGTTTTATGTTCAAACTATCATTATCTTTAAAGAAATGTATATATTTCTATTTTATTCACAGCTATTTTTAATTCAAATAAATACTCACTAGTGTTATGAATGGTATACTTGGTACTTCTTCAGCTTTCGCTTCTGATGGTTCCGAACTCCTGCAACAAAATGGAGACCATTATGAAGACGCAATAAAGGGTTTTAGAACAGGTATACTTGGCCAACGTAATAAACAATAGTGGTCGAAATTATAAAATGAGTTAATTTCGCCTACGTTATAACAGTTAACGTATATCGTATTCGTAACTATGTTTTCGCAAATACATGTCGATTGATCTCATAAATTGATTTAAGATAGTAGTGTAGAATGTTGCTTCTACAAAAAAGAAAATATTTCAAGGACAACTAATATTACCCGTAGAAGTATCAAAAAGAGAAACAATTAGGTATAAATTCCGGTTACAATTGAGAAGTGATTAATTTATGGAACATAAGGCTATATCCTTACTAATATTATAAATCTGAAAGTGAGTTTGTTTGTTTGTTTGTTTGTTTGTTCCACCTTCACGCCGTAACTACTCAACCGATTGCTTTGAATTTTTGCAGACGTAAAGTTAGAAGTCCGGATTAAATAATAGGGTACTTTTTAACCCGGAAAAATTGATATTCCCGAGGAAAAACAAAAGTATTGGTATAGATGGCGCTGTGTGTATTGGTATATGTCACATAGGCTACTTTTTATTCTTTTGTGACGCGAGCGAAGCCGCGGGTAAAAGCTAGTTATTAATATTTCTCTATTAATTCAAATTCATTTTCTTTTCTAAACGACAAAGTGACTACACTACTATGTTTATTTAATACTTTTTTCAGGAAAACTGTTGTACCTAATTCAAAAGCGTCCTGAAAATCATTTCGCTATGCGGATTTGGTTTTATTTTAGATTTGTTTGCGAGTACGACGCGCCTGTGTTTATGAAATGTATCCCACGTGGTGTTTGCCGTGTTTGCCACAGTCTACCAAGGTCAGGATCAAGGCTAGAGGGAATCAAAATCGATTGTGCTACGCAGCTTGAATCTAGCTGTTTCATTTAGAGTTTTTATTTAACATTAATAATAAGTGTCAATATTGTGTTCTAATGATCTGTAAATGACCATAATGAAATATTTTCCTTGAATAGTTTGCACAATAAAAATAATAACAATGCTATCATTATTCAATACCCGCTTATCTCCAATTATAATTTTATTTCGATAAAACCACGTAAAACTTAAAATTTAGGTACTTATACGGCATTTTATCTCGACTTTTGTCATAAAAAATACCTCTACATGTAACCTTGTCATTATACGTCATATAGATACTATTGATGGATTTGTACTTTGGCGATCGGTAGTAAACTGGCGCCGCAATCCGGGTCTTTCGTAAAAATAGTTTGTTTTATTTTTAACCTATGGTTAAGGAATGGCTGAGACACGGCAGTATGAGCCAGTCTCGTGATGAGATCATATTTAATCAGTCCCGGCGAATTAGTCCCAATGTTTCATAATATTTAATTGCAATTGCGTGGAATATATACGTGTAGTATAGTATACATTATGTTACAACTGATGTGCGTCTGTATTGTTGATAATAGATTTGTTGATCAATTGAAGCAATTCACGCTCAGTGTCATTCGCTTCTAGGGATCCTACAGATTGCACTAAGAAAATATTTACTTGTTGGCTGTTATTGTTCACGACATTCAACAGATTGCTCTCATATAGGTAAATATGTAATAACAAGGTAAACTTACGTGTCAGAAAATTGTCCTTTTTGTACATCTTCATTTAATGGGTCTGGTAATTTATTCTCATTCTCCTTTTCCCCTGGTTTCAGTTGCCACACGTTTCCCTTCGAGTCCTTCATTTTGAACAATTAAATAACTGAATTATTCACACAACAACAGGCCACACTACAACTTTAGACAGCTACTGTGTTTAAAAACTCATTATACTAATTCACAATGAACTAAGTGAGCCGTATATATCTGCTGAAACGTTTATCCGTGGTCCTCCCAATCGCGACTAACGCATCCATGATACGTTATCAATTTATCAGGTCGATAAAACGTGAAAGGTGCTGTAGAACTGAAACTCGATTATAATAAAACAACGTTTGGTTTAGAACGGTGTAAGTGCGTCAATGGCCGACATGTTCCCTTGAAGCGTGGAAAGCTACAAATAGTTTGAAATTAGGCGCGAAATAACGCGAAAGTTTGTTTGTTTTATGAAGCTCTGGCGGTTCCTAATGATCTTTACTTTGCACTCGTGAGTCACGCAGGTAACTGTGCGTTATTCCTATGTATATTGTTATACACAGCTATTGGCTCGCCTAACTACCTATATATATATATATGTTCCATGAAAGCTAAGCTTTCAATAGTCAGACTTTATATTTACATAAAGCACTATTAAGTAAGTAGGTAGAAGCTTGTCATTAGAATTGTCTTCTAAACAAGTAAGTAGGTAACTTTGTTATCAAATCGTATGTGGGTCAGAATCTACCATGAAAATACTAGCTATCACTAATTAACTTCGTAACAACAAAAGCGCACTCGAAACAAAACACTACAAATACAACGAATTATTATACAGTTGACATATTATTATGTTTGTGTTTATTTTATGTCATCGTTGCTACGATACGATACGACGATTATTTCCTACGACTACGATTAATCAAGATTACGTTTTTTATTATTGTAAGTATTGTAACTTTTATCATAATGCCTTTATAATTGCCTATGGATATTCTAGAAGTAATTTAAATATATTCTTGTAGAAAATTATTCGAGAAGATGCTTCAGGAACATCATAAAAAAATAGGCCTCGATCGTCTACGAGTATATACACGGTGACGGTTGACCGCACCGTAATTTTATCGATTACTTATTGCGTAAACAGCTGGCTTTAGGTTGCGAGCTCGAGCTTTAGGCCGGTCGTGAACGAGAAATAGGGTAAAGCGTGAAGCATGAATGTTAAGTAATAACTCCTTGACAGATGTCAAGTCTTATTTTGCTAATAGTTTTTGTTGAGGGGGAAATATCATCCAATAATTTCTACCGCCTTGGGTTAGGCGAGAGGGAGTGTCAGACTCTTAATGACTAAAAACCACCCTGTTCCTACTCGTGCTCTTCGAGCCGGAGCTCGTACCATTTGGCCTTCCGTGGCTTCAGGAGTAGTAGCTACGTGAAAGACTGATGTCTTTTTTTTTTTTTTTTTTGTGAAAAACATTGCCCCATATTAGGATTTTCTCCTGTGTCGTGGGTGCTTTTACAAACATACAAGTTCACATACACATGACACCCAGACCCAAAACAACAATTTGTGGATCACACAAAATGTTGTTCCGTGCGGGAATCGAACCCGCGACACGTTGCACGGCAGCCGGCTGCCCAGCCACCGCACCAACCGTGCAGTCAAATGTCTACATAGGTTACTACATAGGTTACAGAGTATCTATTTAGAATATAGTAAGCAATCTAAATGTGAATTACGATTGTAAAGGGAGAGTCGAGCAGAAGACACCTATATTGTGCATATTCGTAGCAAAACGTCAAAAAATAAAAGAAATGCGAAGATGATTACAACATAGGTTTGCTTACATAAATATACTGAGAAAAGCTTTACAAGTTTCGTACGCAGACGTCTATCGCCGCGTCTGCGCACGATGCTCATGCAGAAGAGTCCCACTGTGATTCGAAACTAGTAGAGCTTGTCTTTGTCTTGTCTTGATTTTTTGTTTATACTTTAGTATGTCTCATGACAGTTATTATAATAGTGCGAAAATGCATTAAACATCGAGAAATGCATGTGCATCGCATGCTTTTCATGTTCCATGTAGGTGATGTAGGAATAGACACGTTGTGCAGCAGTTAGTAACCCAGCCATAGATATAATTATTTCTGTGAACCCAGCAACTATTGGCAAATAATTTACACATGCTAACGTTGGTACTTGTTTACATGTTTTTCAATATTCTAGGTAAAAAGTAGGGTGGGGTCTACGTTTAACTAGCTTTGTTTTATATCCAAAATAAATAATTTAGAAAAAAATGTAGATTTCTTTTTTGGGCCAGTAGGTTAGAGGACGACTTAAAACAATTTGTAAGACATAAGTTCAATTGTTTACAAAAATATCCACAATGTAATTGTAATAAAGTTAACGGTACCTACCTAGGTAAGTACAATAACAGTACAAGCATGTAACAAAAAATACGTCATCTTATTTCTAAGAAAAATCTGAAAAATGTCACCAATACCTTATTATTCCAAATTTAAATTATCTTGTATAAAAACGAATGAGTGACCAATGACAATGTTCATTATGCCAGTGATTTATGGCGCACCGCTATTCTCGTCAGGTTCAGTCACGGTGGGCCACAAGTTTCACTGCACTATTATTTCGCTCACTCTGTTTTGTAAACAACACGTTGGGTGCATCATTCCTCAGAATTCGTACATTGTCCAGCCCTTTTTTCACTTCCACGATAATTTTGTCAATGCCCTGTTACATTTTAGTTGGGCGTAACTAATGCTTGAGTGACACATTTCCTTTAAATTCCGGTTATTGATTGAATAGTTTGCTTTATATATTTGTCCCATGTCCCAATGAAAACATTATCTATTGTGCCATAATTTATTACTTGTAAAGTCTTTATCTTTTATTCTTTGTAATGAATTAGTACCTAAGTTTTTGAACAGTAGCCAGTTTTATAAGCCAATAAAATGAAAGGACAAATTTAGGTAACTTTGGCAACTTTTTAAGTAGAAACAACTTTAAAAAAATCTTATGTGCGTCACGCTGAGTTCAAGCGAGTAAAGTCTTACCTTGTTAGGAGTCGTATTAGTGCTCGTTGGTATTAACCGGAACCTTTCCTCCAGGCTCCCAGCTTCCACCATGGCTCTTTTCTTTGGCATCTCCATGAATGTTAACATAACCCGAGGCTGAAACATTTTGACTAAATGCACTGCACGACTCACTGAGCAACGGCCACTCCTCGCAAATCATTAAACTAACTAACAATATACTCGCAAAATGATTGTGCTCATCAAATTGTATGGACTACATGGGATTGGTATGAATGTGTCTCTATGGAACCATGTAGGTATGTAAGTACCTAAGTGCGTAGATGTTCATAGCAGTACCAAATACGACAAATCATTCATTATGTAACTTCGTATGTTTGTTGCTTTACCCAAAGGAAATGTGATGCGATATTTACTTAGGTAAAAGTGAGTGAGTATTTTAACTTTTAACTAAAGTTTAAACATAGGTCTCTACCTATTTTACTTTCCCGCTGTAAAGATTTAGCTACCTACTTTAATATATTATATGTAGTTACTAGTGCAATTGTGTGTGTTAAGAATTGTGTTCATGTTATTTATCAAGGTTTTTACGTCTCGCGAATGCTTCGTGTGAAATCGTGTGTCGTTATCTAACCTTGACTAGGTACGCGACATTCTTAGCACGTCGGTATTAATACTAAGCGTTCCGTCGTCCGAGACTTACTCCCGAATACTCTCAATTTCTTATAGATCTAGGCTCATCTTTAAGCCCTCTGACGTTATAATCCTGACGTAACAGTAGGGGGAATATCATTAGTGACGTCATATCTCGATCATCTGTTTACCGGTCTTGTCAACAGCCAAGCAATTTATAACACAGTGATTTATTCGTGATAAAATGTAAAGTAGTATATTAAATTATCTTTTAGGTACCTAATTTTAGGCACCAAGTTCAAGAACTTTGATTTTAGTTTTGTACTTAAGTTTAAACTTTACAGATCGTAATTATGTACCTATTTAAAACGCGATCAATGAAATGCCTACATTTCTAAATACATTGTTTTTAAAAATAATCAGCAGAATATTTTTATGCGACTACACTATAATGATATTTAAGCATTTTGATTTAAATAATAGACAATCAAATGACTCACTGCACCATCCGGACCATGGAAGAGGCGGGAGAAGTCGAATGTCAAAGGCCAAGATTCATGGGGTTGCCACCCCTATAGAAGTGATAACAGAATATTTTGGCAAATGGAGACTCTCTTTTTATGAACGACCTTTATTTCAAATTAATAACAGTTTTTGTTAAATTAAATTCATTTTATGGTACTCAAAATGCAATTTTAGTTGAATTTGACAATTCGTATCGTATTCTCGAGCAATAAAAAAACAATGGGCAACCCAATTTTGAATGAATGAAAGTGAACATTAAACTGATAACTTGATGAGGTTAAGTTTAATGAACTTCAAGTTTGAAGTGTTTTGATTTTGTATGAAAAAAGTTTGTTGCGAGGATTCAAGAAGAATACATGAATAAATAAAAATACTAAATTAAAAAAATAGGTTCATATATTGTGCGTAAGTATTTCCCTAGTATAATATTTTTGTTTGTACAACTCAACTGAAGTTTATAGCTGATAGCTCTACCTCATCGTAGTTATCAATAAATTATTATAAATCTGGGTCAGTGGCTCATCTTAGTTATAAGTACCTAAGTAATAACTGATGAATGATCAAGTACCTCTTTCTTCGACGTGCTAACTTAAAATTCCATCTTACTGTGAGCAGGATGCAGGATGTAACATGTAACAACAACATCTCATGTTAAATTAAGTAAATATAGAACTATGAGTACCAAGTGTAACACTCTATTTGTATACTTTGTAACTATGATACATACCTAATATTTTTCTAACTATAAATATTATTATACCCACTTGTTATTAAAGTCAAGTAAGTTTATTTAGACCAGTAGTTGGCAATTTAAAATACAAGTCTTGCAAAGCTTACCTATTTCTAAAATCCTTTTGTAAAATACTGAAACGGACTTGTTGATGATAGCCGGAGTAAGGAATAAAGTGATTCTATTTTAGGGCCAGAGTTAATCTTTAGTTCTATTTGAAATACCTTTCATGTAAACCTCATTTTATAAGTACCTATTACACTTATACTTTGATTAATTCATTACAATACTTATATATTTTGTAAGTCTCTGGGTCGACTGGTCTTATGGTACAATTAATCTGTCAAACACCAAGCGGTCACCGGTGACCGCAACCTATTGTTCTTTAATTGTGTCTATAAAACCGGTACTCGACGAGTTAAATTAAATGGTAGCTTCACTGACCGACTGACGGACTAGTATTCATTTTATTTTTGGTGACATTTCAAAAGTACCAAATTATGGTTTAAATGAAATAAATGCTTTTTGTTTGAGTTTGAAATATGAGTTTGAGATAACAACAAACATCACATTAAGTGTGACTTCAGTTCAATTTTCAATAACTAAAGCAGTAAGTATTCATACTCTGTTTCTAATTTAACTCACAATAATTACAACGTTGAAAATTGTTATAAATCATCCCCTAAATTTGTTAACCATTAGAAATAAGGTCTATAATATATTAAGTGGAGAGTGGTCACCGGTGACCGCTTGGGGATATACGGGTTAAAATGCATACCACTACATGTCTACTACCTACTTATACCTGCTGATGTAAATATTTTATTTCTAAATTGTTAGTACCTACTTTATCGGTCCAAATATTGAGTGTGAGTACCAATTTTAAGCAATACAATCCATTTATGCTTCATAGTAAAATAATATAACAATTAATGGTTATTATAAAAGTAATTTATTAATTTTATTGCCTTAGATACAGGCCTCTATCTATTTTAATTAAGAGGCATAAGATAAAAACCTAAATTTCATTTGTTACTAAGTAATTTTCATTGGTTTGACATAAACTACTTATTTGATGCTGGCAGTATCTTATTTGATGCTGGCAGAACAATCAACTACTAAATAGTGCAGACTCAATTGCCATAACAAAGTATATTATTATGTTTATTTTTCAAAAAAAGTTTAGAATTCACTGGTGAATGTAATTTAAAGTTGAATATTAGCTGTAATAGCTGTATATAGGACATATTGAGATTGAATTATTGTGCAATAAGGAAGTAACTTAAGCCTAGTGTAGAATTGAAACTGAGTAGGTTGATTGTTTTATTATAACATAACATCATCACGCGTTTTATCCCCGAAGGGGTAGGCAGAGGTGCACATAGAAGTAACACCCACTTTTCACTATTTATGTTATGAGTCCCATGTAATAGGGGGTGACCCTATTGTTTTATTATCTTTTATGGAATTTACTTTTGATCTAAAATATAAGCCAATCTTGTATGGCTGTGTCTTTAAGAAGGAAAAGTGAATCAATGAAGAATAATTTTGTTTATTATGATTAGTTACAATTTACAATTAGTTTTACAATTACGTATTATTATATTATTTTTATAAATTTTCAAATATGTATCTGGTTTACAAATGCACTGTTGTCTTATTTCATTGATAAACCTGGAGATTGGAAACTAAATCATGTATAAAAAGTTTGTTAAGATTAAAATTTAATAAAGAAATTTTAAGGACTTATATTTAAATTATGCTTGTTAATCCTATGTAGTTACTAGTTAGACCTTAGTCATTTAGGCATTTAGAAATAAGATTTAAAACTATTGCATAATAAAATTGTGGTGTATCGGGTGTTGTTGTCCAACACAGCCAATAAATAAAATTGTACCACAGCACAGGACCACAAACAATCAACAAAAAAGGTCCAGTACAAAGTGTAACGAAGTTGTAAGATTTATTATTATTACAGCCAATAACAATCATTGAGTCATACAGCTATGACAGCTGCGTACGCGCATAGTTGTGAAGGATCATTGACGGCGCGCGGTGACTCGCGCCGCGGTGGTCGCGACCACATATAGAGATCTCCCGTCGGCGCACGCGCTCTCAACGAATGAGCATTTATGATGGCTAGATGTGCAAATTCTATACTAAATGTAGACGATAAAAAAGGATTTAAATAGGGCTGAAATTGGGGTCTTTGTACATAAATGGATTATGGGACAGCTGTCTTGAATGTAAAGACTCAATTCTTTGGAATATTTTTCTTCTGATATGTAGTAAGTAATTGGTGGTCTACATTATGTAGATAGTGCTAAATTTAACTAACTCAAGGACCTCTATCTAGGATTCTAGAATGAATCGCAATTTTTGTGCTCGAAGTCACTTGATTATAAGACAAAGACTCAGTTGTAAAGATATCACCTTACAATGTAGGATTACAGATTATAGATGGCTGTTTTTTTCATTCTTTTTTCACCGGGAGCATTCACGTGTAATGTAACATTATAGATTCGACTTAGAACATTACATTACAATAATACCTACCTGACCTACGAGCATTTGCGTATAATGTAACGACACGAAATAACAACACAAATTATTGATTCGACTTTGAGCATTTCATAGCAATGTAAGGGGCTGGGGGAAGTGGAGCGCATTGATGTTACAAGTTGTATCAAGATATTACACATTGTATCATTACAAGGTGTGCATTGTAATGCTCGGTTCTCCTCCTTCACCGACGTTATGCTCGGATCTGTAACGTTACATTACACGCGAACGCTCCCGGTAAGAGACCACCATTAGGTTAAATTGTAGGTACAATGTTGTCTTATAACACAATCTAAAGATTATAATATGTGATTAAGACCAGATTGCTCTAGTAAGTATTAATATACCTAGGGATTTGTGTAGTTTTCCTATTAACTATGTACTTATTTTATTACTTAAGTATGCACTACGAAGATCTAATGAATTGTAAGTATATTTTTTACAAGCCAGCGAGTTGCCTGGGAAAGAAGAAGAAGACTATCTTACTTTTGACTGTTGAAACAACCTTAGTGTTTTTTTTTATTCACTAGTTTAGTTGTAGTAATTTTTAAGTTGTAAATATTTATTACTAGCTTTTACCCGCGGCTTCGCTCGCGTCACAAAAGGATAAAAAGTAGCCTATGTGACATATACCAATACATACAGCGCCATCTATACCAATACTTTTGTTTTCCCTCGGGAATATCAATTTTTCTGG